AAATTTTAGCAAACAAAATCTAAGACTACACAGAAAGAATACTACATTGTGCCTAAATGGAATAGTTTCATTTAGGAATGGAAATTTGACTGTATACTCTAAAACCTACCAATATGTCATAATATTAATAGTTCTAAATAGAAAATAACATGATTATCTTTGTAAATAATGAAATTGTATTTGATATAATCAAGCACTTTTTTGAGCCACTGAGCTACATCCCACCCCCCTAGCCCTTTTTATACTTTTTTTTTTGAGAGAGAGAACCTCACTAAATTGCTGAGGCTGACCTTGTGATCTTCCTTCCTCAGCCTCCCTAGTTGCAGGGATTACAGGTGTATACCTGGTTAGTGCCTCACTTCTAATGAATAGAATAATCAAAGTAATGGTATGTCCAGTGATCTGGGAGTCTGAAGCAGAAGGATTACAAGTTTAAGGCCAGCCTCTGCAATTTAGTGAGGCCCTAAGTAACTTAGTGAGAACTAGTTTCAAAAAGTAAAAAGAACTGGGGATGTGCTTCAATGGTAAAGTAATTCTAGGTTCAATCCCCAGCACCCTAAATAAATAAATAAATAAATAAGTGATGGTATGTGACCTGTGAGTCCAAAGCAATAAAATATTTTGGGGCTGGGCATGGTAGCACATAACTGTAATCCCAGTAGCTCAGGAGGCTGAGGCAGGGAGGATCATGAGTTCAAAGCCAGCTTCAGAAATTTAGTGAAGCTCTAAGCAACTCAGTGAGTCTCTAAAATACAATAAAGGGCTGGGGATGTGGCTCAGTGGCTAAGTGCCCTTGAGTTCAATCCCTGGTACAAAAAAAAAAAAAAAATTGGCTTTGTCTTCCTCTTTCTCTGAAGACCCTGCCATGTGAGGACCCTCATCAACCCTGTGTAGAGATTCATGCAGTGGAAAACTAAGACCTGCTATAAATAACTACATGAGTGTGCCATCTTGGAGGTGATCTTCCAGCCCCAGGCAAAAATTCACATAACCGCAGTACCAGACAACAAGTAGACTGAAACTCATCAGATATTGAGCCAGAACCATCCAGATAAGCCACTCCTGAATTTCTGATTATCTTTTTAAGTCTCTAAATGTTATAGTCATTTGTTATACAGCCATATAACTAATACAGAAGGCAAAATAAAGATATTTTTAGACAGACAAAAGGAAAGAGAGAGTTCAGAACCAGCAGACCTGTACTAAAATAAATTCTAATGTAAAATTTTCAGGTGTAAGGAAAATGAAATCAGATGGAAGGTAAGAGCTAGATAAGGAATGATGAACACATAAAATGGTAAATATATGAGTAAATCTAATGTTTTCCTGGATTTAAGTTACTGAGGCTGACCTCAAATTTATAATCATCCTGCCTCAGCCTTGGAGGTCGCTGGGATTATGGGCATCCACCATTGGGCCTGGCTATATCATTAAATTTAAAAGTACATTACAACAATAAGAAAGCATAAATATGGGCTGGGGTTGTGACTCAGTGGTAGAGCGCTTTGGTTCGATTCTCAGTACCATATAAATAACTAAAGATATTGTGTCTATCTACAACTAAAAATTAAAAAAAAAGAAGGCATAAATAAATGGAGAGATATACCATACCATGTTTATGGATTGGAAGATTTAATTGATGTTAATTCTCCTCAAATTGATCTATAATTTCAATACAATACCAATTAACATATCAGCCACCTGTCTTCCCCCAAATTAACAAACTGATACTAAAATTTATATTGAAAAAGCAACAGACTAGCTAGACGTGATGGTGCATGTTTGTAATCCCAGTGGCTGGTGAGTCTGAGACAAGAGGATTAAAAGTTCAAAGCCAGCCTCAGCAAAATCAAGGCACTAAGGGGCTGGGGCTATGGCTCAGCAGTGGCACACTTGCCTGGCATGTGTGAGGCACTGGGTCCAATTCTCAGCACTACATATAAATAAACAGGATAAAGGTCTATCAACAACTCAAAAAATATTTTTAAAAAATCAAGGCCCTAAGCAACTCAGTGAGACCCTGTCTCTAAATAAAATACAAAATAGGCTGGGATGTGGCTCAGTGGTTAAATGCCCCTGAGTTCAATCCCTGGTACTAAAAAATAACCAATCAACCAAACAAACAAACAAACAAAAAACAGACTAAAATAGTCAAAACTATTGTTTTAACAATTTCATAAAAGAACACAGTTGTGGGACTTTTACAACCTGATTTTAAGACTTACCCTAAGCCATAGCAAAGTTGGCCTACTGACCTACAGTCAAAGGTAGCCTGTAATCTGTTTTTGCCAGAATTTTAAGCTAAAACTCTTTTTAAATGATTGGAAAAGAAAAAAAAAAAGAGGTGGTGAAACTGACTTTGTCTTTCTTAGTAAGTACTTTAAGAAAATCTCAGTCATAGCCAGTCCAACTGGTGCACACCTGTAATACCAGCAACTGTGGAGGCTAACGCAGGAGGATCACAAGTTCAAAGCCAACCTCTTCAACTTAGCAAGATCCTGTCCCAAAATAAAAAACAAAAAGGGGCTGGGATGTAGCTCAGTGGTAAAGTACTCCTGGGTTCAATACCTGGTACCAAAAAAGAAAAAAATAAGTTTGAATCATAAAAACAAGTTAGAAACAATAAACTGCTTAGTAACCGGTCTTTTGTGAAATGTTAATACTAAAGTTTTTTTGGTTTTTTGGTACCAGGGATTAAACCCAGGGGCATTTTACCACTGAGCCACATTCCTAGCACTTTTTAAAAAAAGATTTTATTTAGAGACAGGGCCTTGCTAAGTTGCTCAGGCTGACTTTGAATTGGGGATCCTCCTGCCTCAGGCTCCTGAGCCATTGAGATTACAGGAGTGCGCCACCACATACCCAGCTTAATACTAAAGTTTTAAAACTACTTCACATTTCAATGTATAATGTTAACAATTTCACATTACAAAAAATGAATACCTGTTAGCGCACTTTTTTTTTTTTTTTTGTACCAGGGCACTTAACCACTGAGTCACATTCCAGCCCTTTTCATTTTATTTTAAATTTTTAGACAGGGACTCACTAAGTTGCTTAAGACCTTGCTAAATCTCTGAGGCTGGCCTTGAACTTGTGATCCTCCTGCCCCAGCTTCCTGAGTTGCTGGGATTATAGGCATGTGCCACTGTGCCTGGCCTATTAATGTGCTTCTCATTCTTAAAACACATGTCTAAATTTGCTTGCATATATGTGTATGTATATACATATGCCGCATCATTGATTGCCAAAGACTGTGCTAAATAAAGTAGTTGCTGCATGACCCTCAGTATTTTCCCATCCTATAGGTTGGGTTGACTGTATAGCTGTAGCTGCAGTTCACAAAGTCTGGATTCCTATTTCTGGTCCATCCTCTGCACCGTATAATCAGGTGACCAAGAATTTGACTCAGAGAATCCTCGACAACACTGTTTTTCCCTCCCTCCCTCCCTTCCTTCCTTCCTTCTTTCCTTTCTCTCTCTCTCTCTCTTTAGAGATGGGATCTCAATATGATGCCCAGGATGGCCCTGAACTCTAGGTATTTGCCACTGTTCCTGTTTATTGAATGCTTTTCACATTTGGTATGAATTGTCTGGAGCCTTGATTCTGAGCATGCAGGGGTGGGCTTGGGAATCTGCCATATTAATAAGGCTATAAGGAAGTGTGATCTGCATTTTGGGAACTGTAGCTCTGGGCACCTAATCTAGACTGCAGGGAAGAAGCTGCATCTGTCTTTGGTTTCATACTCTGTTCACGCCTCTTCTTGCTGGAGTATGAGTAGCATGCTTTCCTATTAATGTAGTCAGATGTTGCTGAGCCTGGTGCTAGCCCTCATGAGGTAGAAGAAATAAGAAATAGGTAGATAGGAAGGACAAGGAAAAGATTTGGATTCAGAAGTTCTGTCATTCCCTAAATCCGCTTCCCTTCCAGGCCTGTTACTCCCAAATTCCTGGGAAATCTGTAAATCTACCTGTGCACTGTTAATTATCACCCTAAAGAGATTAAGCAAAGAGAGATACCATAGCTTGAGGAACATGTAATTCAGGAGACTTTCAAGTGCTATCTATTGATAAGATAATGAAGACCATATTAGCCTAAGAGATTGACCAAACCACCAGAACCCGTCTTGAGATCACCAGTCTGATATCATTCCTACATATCCAGCCTGGACAATTTAGTGAGAGCCTGTCTCAAAAATAAAATAACAAGGTCTGGGAATGTAGTTCAGTGGCAGAGTGTCCCTGGGTTCAATCCCAAATACTGCCCCCCCCCCAAGAGTTGAGAATCCCCCCAAAATATCTTTTACTCTTGAGATGGCCTGTATTATCCCTTGAATGCGTATCTACTTTCTTAAAGGGGTTTCACTAAGTTGCTTAGGGCCTCGTTCAAATACTGAGGCTGGCTTTGAACTTGTGATCCTCCTGCCTCAGCCTCCCCAGCCGCTGGGATTACAGGCATGCACTGCCAGAGCAGGGCTTTGAGTTTGCTCTAGTTTATCCTCAGCACCTAGCAAAGCGTCTGGCAAGTATTCATTGGATGGATCACTTACTTCAGGCCTCAACCTGAGTGGGGTGTTAAGACCCCTGTGAATAGATCAAAGAGAGACCCCAGGCAGCTATTTGTATAGATCCCCAGAAATTAGGGCATCCCTCTGTGGCACAGGCCTCTGCTGTCGCTCAGGATAGGGCGGTGCCTGGAGACCTCGCAGGGCAAAAAGGACACAGCACAGCTCTATTTGGCATCCAGCTGCCCACTGGAGGTGGGGGTGCCTGGACTCCACTGGCCGACCTCAGTTTTCCCATCGGTTCTTCGTGGGGTAGATCCCGAGCCGCCCTTGCAGTCCAGAGTACACCCACTCCGCAGCCGCGGCAGGCTGCGGAGGTGTGAGGGCAGCCTCGGGCGCGGCGGGCAGAGCCGGGGTACGCAGCCGGGCCCGGTGAGGGCGCTCCAGGCCGGTCCTCCAGAGCAGTCGCGTGCCGCCGGGGCCCCTCTAGCAGCCGGGCGGTGGCGCGGTGTGCGTCGGGAAAGCGGCGGGAGGATCCGGCCCTCGGCTGTAGCGCGAGCCATGGTGGGTGGCGAGGCGGCTGCAGCGGTGGAGGAGCTGGTTTCCGGGGTGCGGCAAGCGGCCGACTTCGCCGAGCAGTTCCGCTCCTACTCTGAGAGCGAGAAGCAATGGAAGGCCCGCATGGAATTCATCTTGCGCCACCTGCCTGATTACCGCGACCCGCCCGATGGCGGCGGCCGCCTGGACCAGCTGCTGTCCCTCTCCATGGTCTGGGCCAACCATCTTTTCCTGGGCTGCAGGTGCGGACCCCTGCCGGCCGGCTGACCCTGCTCCCTGCCCGCCGACCCTCAGCCCTCTGACCCCAAACCTCTGTCCCAGACTGAACCGGTCCCCAACCTCCCATCGCACTGGCTGTTCCGCCGGCTCCTTTCCACCTTGCAGCCCCTTGGAAAGATGCTTAATTTTTTCTGACCCTCAGTTTCCTCATCTGGTAAATGGGTGGTTATGATGGCTACAGGAATTAAAAGACGAACAGCTTAGTACATGGTGGGCTCGAGAGTTGCCACATTGCTGTTATCAGTATTACTAATTACTAGCCCAGATCACTACCTTTTCAGAGTGTGTTTTAAGTCCATTTGCTCCTTTCACTCACAAGGCAAAAGTGCATAGACTGAAAAAGACTCCCCCGCCATCAGATGAAGAGGCTGAGAGAGAGGAAATGATTTTTGTAGGGCATGCAGCTTCTGGCAGGATTGGTAGATTTTATACCACAATGGTAGGATCTGTGTCCCAGGACTTTGTCTCCCCAAACCCCAGACTATTTGATCCTGAGCAGGAGCTAGGTTTACTTTTTTGCCTTCCCTTTAGTGAACTTTTTTGAACTTATCTTTTTGTCAAGGTCCCAAAGTCCACTGCTTCTTGGCAACTGCATCAAGAGAGCAAGGTCCTGCTTTTGAAATGCCTGATTGACCCTTTTTTGACCCTATTAAGAAGAAGGCACAGATCTTGAGGATTCCTTCTACCCTCTTACAGTTTCTTGAAGTTAGAATAGAATGACTTGGTTTGGTGCTGGTTTCTGTACCTTGACTCTGGTCACATGACCCCTCCAGGTCAACCCACTTGGATTTGCTTTGGTTTTGGTTTTGGTGCTGGAGGTTGAATGCAGGGCCTCTTGCATGCTAAGCACATGCTCTAGCACTGAGTTACACCCCCAACCCCAGATATTGGGATTTATTAGAATAGGATATACCAGATTCACCCATCCCAGACACACACTTCTCTCCTTTCTGCCTTCTGTACCCCTGGGAATTCTTGGTTAATAGGTTCAAGATTAGACGTATGTCAGAGAATGGAGCAAATGAACAAATGATGCTGTTTTCATTAGACAAACATTCTAGATGTTTAAAATAAAAAATATTTTTTTGCCCTCATACCATATTCATGAATATGTACTGCCAGACATATGGTGCCTCTGTTTTTGAAAATCTTGAAACATCTGCTCTTATTGGCATTTCCAACGTCTAATTCTGTACCCCAAAAGAGGAAGAACTATTTTCTAACCTTGTGCTGAACATATATATAGGTTTCCCCAACAGTATCAAGTTAGTCCACTGAAGAACACAGCAAAGTGGCCTGTGCTTATAGCCCCAACTATTAAGGAGGCTGAGGTAGGAGGATCACTTGAGCCCAGGAGTTCTAGGCCAGCTGGACAGCAGCAAGACCCTATGCCTGCCTGTCTCTGTCTCTCTCTCTCTCTCTCTCTCTCTCTCTCTCTCTCTCTCGTACTGGGGTTTGAACCTAGGGATACTTTACCACTGAGTACATCCCTAACCTTTTTTTATTTTTATTTTGAGACAGGGTCTCACTAAGTTGCTGAGGCTGGCCTTGAACTTGTGATCCTCCTGCCTCAGCCTCCTGAGTTTCTGGGATTACAGGTGTGTGTTACCATGCCCAGCAGTAAGACTCTTGTCTCTTTAAAAAAAGAAAAATTTAATACTTCTAGAGTTAAGTTTACAGTCTAGTAACTTGCAATTTCTTATTAACCCACAGTGACTAGTAATTCTTCCAAGGTTTTTACCGTACTACTTTTTATTGTGCAGTTACAATAAAGACCTTCTAGACAAGGTGATGGAAATGGCTGATGGTATTGAAGTGGAAGACCTGCCACAGTTTACTACCAGAAGTGAATTAATGAAAAAGGTAAACAGGATATCCAAGTGCATTTGATGAAAAAGTGTAGATTTAATGGTCCCTGATTTGATGACACATATTGGGGTACTGGTTTTTATGTTATTTTTTTTCTTAGTTGTAGATGGACTCAATACCTTAATTTAATTAATTTATTTTTTCATGTGGTGCTGAGGCTCAAACCTAGTGCCTCACACATGCAAGGCAAGCACTCTACCTCTGTGCTATAATCCAGCCCTGGGGCATACTGGTTTTTGAATACCTTGTTTATTATTCCATAGATCTATGCCCTTTCAGTTTTATTTCCCTGCAATTGGTATAAACATTTTTATAACTAGCTAACAACCCATCTTAATAAGTTATGCATTGTTGGTGGAATAATACCTAAACTCAACCTCTTTGGTTTGTCTACGTACACTCCATTTTAAGTTTTTTTCTTGATTTTAAGGAAACTGTTGGCTAGACTAGTGCAAAAATTTCCCAATTGTTAAAAAATCTTGTTGGTAACAAATTAGTGCATCAGTGCCCCTTCAGGGGAGGGCTGGACCAGACTTGTTTGGCCTCTCTGACTTGATAAGGAATGTGGCGGCTAGAGTAATGTCCAGATCCCATAGCTGCTCCCTAGTCTGCCTGGTTGGTTTAACCTGAGGCTCTGGGATTGGACAGGTGAGCTCCTGCCTAGGGTCTTGTATCTGTACCCTGGAGCTGCAGCTATGGAGAGGATATGGCTGTGGAGGAGATGCAGTGGGGTTTCCCAGCTACTTTTCCAGAATAATCCTCAAAACATGCATTTTTCACATTTTTCCCAGTCTCCTCATGTAGCAAAACTAATTGCTCCCTTATCTTCTGAAGTTCCTTGGGGCATTTGCCCCAGCAGATTGTGATGTTGATGGTGCCTGAGGTTTTAGTCCTTATAACTGCAACAGGCACTCAGAAAATACTTCCAAAATTAACCAAAGCAATAAAGAGCTTCTGGCCTCTTTTTAGTTGTATCTTCAGACATAGGTAAGCTCTTGTTTCACCCCAATTGGCATGTTTTAGGAGACAGGGCACATAAAGAGGTCCTCTTTTGAATAGTTGAATCCTCAGCTGCCTAGAAAGGCATTTTAGTCCCAAACTTGATTTCTGGTTTGTTTTTCTTAAAATAAAACATTCTTTCGGTTTTTTAATCTAAATCTGGGGTCAGAAGATTCAGGTTGGTGTTTGAGATGCTATTTTATTTTTAAAATCAGCTGCTAATATATAGCAGGGAGCCATGTGAATTGGTAGTTTTGGACTTTTTGGAGCCTTTCATATAATACTTTAAAAAATCCTTAGGTGTTCCAGAGTGGTGAGGGGGGCCCAGCCAGGAAGGAGCTAGATGGTTGCTGGCTGTCAGACTATACCCCATGAGGCAGGGGTGATCCATCATTTTCTAACTGCTTGTGGCAGTCTTTCCTTGTTTTTGTTCCTAAGACGTTTTTGGCTATCCTTCAGATCTGCTTTTCTTATGTTAGGTAGCCATTTTACTTCTCTGTCTTGGTTTTCTGAACAGTAGCTATACTCTTTCCAGTCCTGCTGGGCTATTAGAGATTAGAACACTCCATGATATTTGGGCTATAGATCCCAGAAAGAGACTAAAGAGATTTTCATGTCCTCAACATTATCCATAGAAGTGTGTATACATTGGGATGGATCTGTCTAAACTGTGGGGGTTTTTTTGGTACCTGGGATTGAACCCAGGGGCATTCCCCAGCCCTTTTATGTATTTCATTTAGAGATAGGGTCTCGCTGAGTTGCTTAGGGCCTCACACAATTGCTGAGGCTGGCTTTGAACTCTAGATCCTCCTGCCTCAGCCTCCTGAGCCATTGGGATTACATGTGTGTGCCACCATGCCTGGCAGGATATGTCTAAACTGTAAAGGGGTCTTTCACTTTAAAAATGTGTAGAGCCCATGCCCTGGGATGCTTTTTAAAAAAAAAAATTAAAAAAAAATTTTTTTTTAGTTGTTGATAGACCTTTATTTTATTTATTTATGCGCAGTGCTGAGAAACGAACCCAGTGCCTCACACATGCCAGGCGAGCACGCTACCGCTTCAGCCACATCCCCAGCCCTGGGATGCTTTCTTGATATCATCTTTACATAAAGCGAGTCTCCAGGGCAGAATCCTCAGGCTTGAGCTTATCATTTCTAAAAGTAGTGCTGCCTGGAAAAAGCCTGCATGGGGGCCATAATTCTATACTTTTATGGATTAGGTGTGTTTTAACTTCCTTTATATGAAACTAATGTTTTCTTTGTAACCAAGTTTAATTTTAAACTGCTGGTCATACTGAAAATGAAATTCATTGCTCCTGAAAAGTGAGATTCTTAGAGGGTACTTTGAGTTTTGCAGTTAAGACTCTTCTAGGGGGCTGGGGATGTGGCTCAGTGGCAGAACACTTGTCCAGCATTCATGAGGCTCTGAGTTCCAGTCTCAGCACCACTAACAAAACAAAAGCCCATCTAGATGAGCCCATCCTGAGAACAGGCCATCCACCTGTGTGCCATGACTATCCCCTCCACTGAAGGCCGCTCTGCAAACCCACTGGAAAGAGCCACAGGGCCTACCCAGCAGTTTTGTCCCTTATCTGCAGTTTCTGCATGTTGTAGAAGAAGCTGTGAAACATTAGGCAACAGTGCCAGCCCTGAGTGGGGGAAAAAACCCTGATGTTAAGCCACACACCTGAAAATGTCCGTTGTTGTACTGCCCAGAATTGATTCTTAGCTCTAAAATTAGAGATCAGTTGGGTTTTAAAGCTAGCTAGCAAGTGGAAATGATCGCCTGGCATTGTTGGTATCTCAAGGCCAGACAGTGATGATGACTTAGAGACTTAAGCCCTCAGTAAGATTTTAAAAATACTTTTTGGCTATTCTGCAATTTTGAGGCAAGTACATCTCTGTGGTCTGTTCAACCTTTTTTTTTTTTTTTTTTAATGTGAGAAATGAGTATTGGTCTTTGACAGTGGGATTTGATAAACAGTTGCAGTATATGATTTTCTCTTGTGAAAGAGGGTTTCAAATACAAATATATTGAGCAAACAATCTTGATTATCCAACCACTATCCAGAGGCACCTGCTTGAAGCATGTGTGGTTGCCTAGCTCACCTGTTAAAAAGTGCTAATTAACAAAGAGGAGCAGCTGACTCAGGGAAGAGTGGCATTGCCATGACTGTCAGAGTTAATATTTCCAAGATAGTGTCTTAATAACGGAGAAAGGAGTGATTGACTAGGAAGCTGTCATTACTGGCTCAAACAAGTTGTCAACTTAATTATTTGGTCAATTTTTCCTGAGAATATTTGTATATTTCCAAGAGGAAAAACGGCAGGATGAAAAGGGACCGTAGATGAAATGTGGAAAAAAAGTTAGAAAAACCAGTGTGCCTACATTTCAAGAGGCACTTTTTTTATGCATTATGCCCAGTCTTGGTAAGCTCTGAGGTAATGCTTTGGTGAGAGTAGCCATGTTCTAAGTATTGACAAGTATTGCTGAGTATTTAAAACAAATTCAACCTGTCAGACTCATTAATACAGAGATCTTACATCTCAAGATAAAAAATATGCTCAGTGAAACTACTTTTAATCTGTTAGAAGTCAAAAGAAGCCAATATTTTTATCTACCGCCCAGGATGGTTGAATCAACTGCTAGTACCTTGTGGAAAAGACTGTACTGTGGCTGGGCATGGTGGTGCATGCCTGTAATATGAGCAACTCCAGAGGCTGAGGCAGGAGGATCACAAGTTTGAGGCTAGTCTGGGCAACTGTCTTAAAATAGAAAATAAAAAGGGATGGGGATGTAGCTCAGCAGTAAAGCTCTGGGTTCAATCCCTAGTATCAAAACAAAACACTGTACTTTTAGCAACCCATATCAGTGGCAACTGATGTACTGTTGTAGTTGGGGGTCTGTCCTGTTGGAAATTTGAGAGAGAACTGAGAGGACTTTTCTTCTTTAGACCGAAGATGGTTTTTTTAGGTGATACTGCATTCTTTCAAAAGGAGAAAGATTTCTTATATTTTGCTTTTGTTGAGGAATTTCATTTTATCATCGCTTAAAAAGACTGATTGGCTTAGCTAAGAAAGAGGTCATACCTTGAAATCTCTGATTACTCAAAAGACTCTCAGATTGATTCATTACTAAATGTTAAGGAAATCCACTCAAATACAAGGTGACAGCCAAAGTGATTTCTTCACACCCTGCTTAAAATTTGTCTAAAGCCAAGTTTAAATTTACCAAAGGTGCTAGAGAGTCCCCAGAAAGAATATATCTGCTTCAGTTCACCACTATTTGAAGACATGCTTTTACAGTTTGTAATAGTGTGAACTCCAGAAATATATAACCTTCACATCTCCTAAATACCCTGACTCAGTGTGAGATGTTGTGAATTACTACCTGAATCTGACTACTTTTAATTTAGACCAAAAAGTGTTTGTGTGATTCTGTGTTTAGAACCCTTCACTGGAGAGCATGAAGGTGCATTTCAAGTATTTCCATTACCGCTTTAAATTGTGAACATTTATAGATTGCAAGAGACAAGACAAGAAAATTAGATTCTGGCTTCGAAATGGATGATGTGGTCAATGTTTTGCTAAATTTTCTGTATGTAGTAAAATATTAATAATTTCTGAGTAGATTTACCATCTGGATAGTACATAAATATTATATCACTGCTATATTTTAATTTATGAAGATGAATTCGATTCACTGGACTGCATGGCTATATAACCTTTTCTTTTTTTCCCTCTCAGCATCAAAGCTAAGGAGAAGATGTATCACATTTTCATCATGGGCCACAGGCTTAGAGAGGAGGCTGGAATGAATGTGACAGTGACCACAGCAGCTCTAGACTCCTGGTAGAGGCAGTTGGAATGAAAAAGGAATCTGTCTAGATTGGCTTATAGAAGTCATTGTTCTTTCAGTAGCTACCACTGTAAAAGTATGCATGGATATTTATGTATTTATAAATCATGCACTCCAAGATGATTTCGTCAACATCATATAAGCCTTTGTTCAAGATGTCCTTTTTTTGTAAATGTTGTAATAGTGGCAGGTAATGAATTTTATAGTTTGGATTTTCAACAGTATACCTGTAAGTGTGATTCTGGGTTTTTTTTTTTTTTTTTGCCTTTTTTTCTGACTAAGGCAAATCAGATCTTTTATTTCCTTATTTCTACATGAAATTCCTTATTTATACCATACTGTTCTTCACTGTCATTATATACCTATCTTTGTGTAGGAAATGAGAATCACATTGTGGGCTAAGGTACTCATGAGCTAGCTATAGCTAGCTCATGGGAAGAGGCAGTCTACAATAAAGTATCTGGCTGCCCACTGTGGTGGTGTGCACCTATAATCCTAGTGGCTGGGGAGGCTGACGCAGGAACATCACAAATTCGAGGCCAGCTTCAGCGACTTAGCAAGGCCCTAAGCAACTTAGTGGGACCCTGTCTCAAAATAAAAAGGGCCAGGGATTTAGCTCAGTGGTAAAGCACCTGTGAGTTCAATACTTAGTACAAAAAAAAAAAAAAAAAAAAAAATAGCATCTGGCCTTATTTTAAAATTCATTGCGGGCCAGGGGTGTAGCTCAGTGGTAGAGTGCTTATCTAGCATTCTTGGGCCTTAGGTTTCATTCCCAGCACTGCAGACAAAAAACAAAAACAAAAACCCAAAAAACAAGTAAAATTCACTCATAGGAGATTCTCTGGCTTTGTCCAGCCAGCCAGATGATGTGTAGATTGTCCAGGTCTCCCAGGCTGCTGGGTAAAACTTGGGTCTTCTAGACTTGAGGAACTATCTTGCACAGTCTCTCAAGAAATACAGTATAAATCTGCTCTGCTTTGAAATTTTGGAATTAATATTCTCCCTTTAATTAATGTATGTGTTTTGAACCCTCTTCCTGTTCCTTTTATTTAGTTCCCACTGTTACATATGTACCTCAAATCATAGTGGGATTGGGGCTTCATTTGAGGGTAGCAATGTAAGTCTAACACAGAAAGAGTCACTCATCATTGATAGGCACTTGCAATAGTTGTGAAACCTGCCTTAACTTAATTGGTGAAAACAGGTAGAGCTGGTAAATAAATAAAGTAGAGCTGGTGTCTGTGGGCAGAGAAGTTATACTTTTGGATGAAGGCCAAGCATCTTCCCTTGTATGGGCCACATCTCTGTGCAGCTTCCAGTTCTAGTCTCCCTAATGATCATGAGATGGACTGAGTTAAGTCAGGCTCTCTGATCTGTAACTTTGGACAAGCCTACTTCTTTCCTTACCTAAACTTGCTTGAATAATGGAGATCACAGAAATACCTACTATAGAGAAGCATGACAAGGATCAGGAGAGTAAGTTTGAAAGCCAAGCACAGTGCTCCTTGACTTGGTTTTTTTCCCCCCTCAAATGTAGCCTAGATTATTTCCATTCTGATTATTTATACAACTTTGTGTGAGATTTAAAAAATTACATTACAGAATGTGAAAACATCTGTGTGATTATTCACTTTTAAAATGAAATTCCCATAGATTTCTCATGGATTTTTCTTTCTTTTTTTTTTTTTTTTTTTTTTTTTGTGCTAGAGATTGAACCCAGAGCCTTGGCCATGTAAAGCAATAAATACTCTACCAATTAAGCTACATTCCAGCCCTTGGATTTTATTTTCTATATGTAAGTTCCAATGAAATAGCCTTCCCTTGCATAAAAAATTGATTTTCCCTAATCTTGTTCAGTTTGATTGTTTACTTAGTTTTTGGTGTTGGAAATTGAACCCAGAGGCCTGGGTCATGTGAGGCAAGTACCCTACCACTTAGTTATACCCCCAGCCAGCCCTATCTTTCAGTTTATTTTTAAAGAATTCTACACTCTAGTTAACTAAAGTGTATTATTTATCTATAAATCTACCTATTTATTTATTTATTTGTAGTACTGGGGACTGAACCCCAGGGGCATTGAACCCTGAGCTATATCCCTAGCCCTTTTTATTTAAAATTTTTAAAAAATATTTATTTTTAATTGTAGTTGGATACAATATTTTTATTTCACTTATTTATTTTTATGTGGTGCTGAGGATCGAACCCAGGGTCTCACATGTGGGAGGTGAGCACTCTACTGCTGAGCCACAATCCCAGCCCTTAAAATTTTTTTAAAAATATTTTTTTAGTTGTAGATGGACACAATATTTTTATTTATTTATTTTTATGTGGTGCTAAGGATTGAACCCAGGGCCTCATGCGAGTGAGGCAAATGCTCTACCACTGAGCCACAACCCCCGCCCCCTGCCCCAGCCCCCTTTATTTTGACATAGGGTCTTGCTAAGTTGCTGAAGCTGGCCTCCAACATATGGTCCTTATGCTTCAGTTTCCAGTTGCTAGAGGTGTGAGCCACTGAGCCTGAACTCTCATCTTACTTTTTATTTACTTATTTTGGTACTGGGATTGAACCCAGAGGTGCTTTACCACTAAGCCACATCCCCATCCCTTTTTTAAATTTACTTTTTTATTTTGAGACAGGGTCTCACTAAGTTTCTTAGGGCCTTGAGTTGCTGAGGCTGGCCTTGAACTTGCAATCCTCCTGTGTCAGCACCCCCAGGTGCTGGGATTATAGGTGTATGCCCCTGTGCCTGGTCTCATCTTACTTTTACAATTGGTAGTAACCTCATGTATAAAGTGAATATTTTAAAATTTCATTCTTCATGTATTTTTGGAAAAGAAAATAGCAAAGAAATTCAAATTTTTGTGTTGTAGTATTCCTTGTGTAGGTAAAATGGCCCATGATTGGCTTTGAAACAGGAGCTCATACCACATGCAAGCTGCAAGATTCTGACCTTTACATATACAGTTCTGCCCAAGAGTTGGGATGAGAACAGGTAAAATGATATGAAGGGACACGGTAAAGTATAAACCTTCAAGTAATGACTGAGAGAGTATCTTTTCTGTTTCTTATACAGTTGAGATGTTCAGCTAACAGTGATGCGCTCTCATGTTATTCAAGCTATATCTACAAAATTGCTTTCAGAAATATTCCTTAGAGTCACCCAATCATTCTTCTACCTTATCAGCGTTAAGGATTCTCTCTGAACTTTTCCAAGATCCACTTGGAACAGTGGCTTACCTATCTGTGGGCACTGGGAGGAATCATTGCCTGTGCTCTGATGCTTTGGTATCTGTAGTAAATGCATACTGTCCCGTCTTGAGATTTCTATCACTCTGTCAGGTGACTTGTGTTAACTCACTTCTCCAGTTCAAAACGGTTTCTGCTAACTGGGTGCAATTGTGCATGTCTGTAATCCCAGTATCTTACGAGGCTAAGGCAGGAGAATCCCAAGTTTGAGACCAACCTCAGCAATTTAGCAAGACTCTGTCTCGAAATTAAAAATAAAAAGGGTTGGTAATAGCTCAGTGATTAAGTGCCACTGGTGATGAAGCACCACTGGGTTAAATCCCCAGTACTGCAAACAAAACAAAATAAGAGATTAAGTATCTTAGGATCTCCAGTACCTAAATTAGTCAATCAATCAATAAAGGGTCTTGCCCAGCAGAATGTGTCTGGAAGGAGACTGTCAGTTTCTGGATGTCTGAGGCCTGTGTGACCTATGATGTCTAATCATGGCTCTCATTTATCTCCCCCGCCCGCCCCAGGTACTGAGGATTGAACCCAGAGGCACTCTTACCACTGAAGTACACCCCCAGCTCCCCTCCCCACCTTAAAAAAAAAATTGCAACAGGATCTTGCTAAGTCACCTAGACTAGTCTTGAATTTGCAAAACTTGAATTGCTGGGATTATAGTCACCTCACCTGGCTCTTATTCTTGACTAGTTTAGCAATACCTTTTGGTTCTGTAGGAGAAAGAATAAGTGTGGATCTTCAGAGGTAAGAGTTTTAGAACTTAAAACAGACATTTAGTCAACAAAGTTGCTTTAACAATTACTGAGTGCATTGCTAAGAAAAAAAGTCTGCCGTAATTTTGCATGTATATAAATAAAATGAAAAGTAAGTCAGGCAACACTGTTTTTTCCTTGAGATTCACTGTGCTCTTTCTGAAAGTTAGGACTCTTGGAGCTGGGTGGTGGCATGCTGACTGACTCTTACACTTTTGTTTGGGAGGTTTTCTCTTGAGTGTCAGCAGTAGGGCAGAGTCTTTCCCATGTGCTTGTCAGTAATGGAGGTGGGCCTGAGCCATTGAAGAGGTAGAGTAAAAAAGACCATCACCTGAGCCAGAAGCTGTGGCACACACCTGTAATCCTAGCAACTCAGGAAGTTTAGGAAGGAGATAGCAAATTCAAGCCCCTTCTGGATAACTTAGTGAGACCATCACAAAATTTAAAAAAGGGCTCAGGATGTAGCTATTACCAACCCTCATTCCTGCCCTGGGTTCTCTCTGAGGCCACACTGTGAGGATAGGAAAATGTCCTAACTTAGATTTACACAAAAGAAAACCCAAGTGCCTACAATCTCCTACCCAGTGAAGCACCACCAGGTTAAATCCCCAGTACTGCAAACAAAACGAGATTATCATTTAAACACAGAGGCTCTTGGAAATCAAGGAACTGAAAATAAAAATTAGACTATTGGCTCCTAATAAATTTGAGTTGATTTTTTACCTAGACTTGGCATGTGAATCACAGCTTTTTCCTTTGACAGTGTTGTTAGACATGTATGCCTTCTTCAGAATACAGCCCAGCTGGTCCCAGCCTCAATTCTACTTTTCCAGCCTTGTAGGCTAGTCAGTCAAAAAATTATTCTTAAATATGGCACTCCAACCTCATTTTCCCTGGCAAATGTCACTTAGGGGCCTGCTCTTCTTGGCCCTCCCCTGGTTTAATGAAGGGACAATTGGCAGTAAAGGCATCAACCTTGAGCCCTGTGGGCCTGGTGACTAAAGCTCTTGCATCCCTATGGAAGCTGGCATCAAAAAAATCTCATCCTCCTAAAACTGTTGTTTTCCTTTCCCTTTGGCCATGTTCTAAGAATGCTGACCTATCCACAGTAGGTGTGTGCTGGGAGATAAATTCTTCCTGTTGAGTTACTTTATTTCAGTATAGGAATCTGTAAAGTGGGGAGCCTCCAGTTTTATTTGGAAACTTCAGTGGAAAAACTCAAAAATGCTTGGCACTTTATGGGCTCTGACTGCCTCATTCCTGCCCTGGGTTCTCTCTGAGGCCACGCTGTGAGGATAGGAAAATTTCCTAACTTAGATTTACACAAAAGAAAACCCAAGTGCCTACAATCTCCTCCTCAACCAAGTTCTGTCTCCAGAGATGCAAAAGGTGAATCTTTTCAGTTGTTGAGCAGGGCAAAACATGCAACTTGACACCCATTAGATACTAAGTGACCATGTCTATTTGATGAATGGGAGTAGGCCATTAGCAATGTAGTAATAAATACCAACCTGCTCTGGGGAGGGGACAGAAGCAAAACCACCGGTGGAAAAGGGTCACCAGATGGCAAGTCTTGCCAAAGCTTGTAAGTGGCCACTGCAGATTCCACTCCCAGACATTATGTATCTTAGGATCCCTATACTTATGGATCTGGGGCCTGTGCCACCTGTGGGTATGTTCCTTTCACTGCAAAGATGGCCCATGTTCCAATGATGGCTATGTGATAGGAGCTCTTCTATTTTTTTCATGTAAAACCAACTATGACTCATCATCCTGGCTACAATGGTTTCACCTTAAACCAGCTGTTTGCAACATCTCAGGTTGAAAAATGACTCATGTCTCCTTCTACCATTTTGTGTTTACCAAATTATCTTTCATGATTGTTCCTGTTTTTGTAACAAAAAGCACACCTGCTATGTAAGAAGTGTCCCTAGAAGGCTCAGAGCTTGGACCCTGAAGATCCTTTGCTATCCTTTAGGCCTCCAGTCTAGGCCTGTGCATGCAGATGGGCTATGAGGAAAGCAGTTCCCAATGTTGCTTTGGTATTTTTTTTTTTTCCTTAAGATATTAGGGGTAGAACTCATGGTCTCCTGCATTCTAGGCAGGGCTCTAGGACTTGGCTATAATCCATGCCCTTTTTATTTTGATACAGTCTCCCTAAATAGCTCAGGCTGGCTTCAAACTTATGATCCTTCTGCTGGGATTATGGTGTTCACCACCACTCATATTATGGATTCTCTTAAAATCTGATTCCTCATGCTCATTGTGGCCTCAAGCTGCACTGTATAGAACCACCAGCCCGTCAAAAAACCAGTGGTTTAAGTGCTAATCAAAGCCAGGTGCAACTGTCAGGCCTCAGTGCTGCCCATTTTCTTGCTGGCTGGCAGAAGATCCTTTGTATCCATCCCTGGCATTGTCCCTATTCTAAAGGCATGCATCTAGTTTATGTCCCAGTAAGTCTCTACCTGAAATCACAGCTTTGTTTTCACGTGGGAACAGTCCTATACCCAAAGGCCACTGCAACATAGCAAGGCTTATAATTTAGCTTTTCTTTGGAAGTGATATTTCAAGCATGTAGTTAAAGTTGGTGACATGGGCTAGTCCCTAGGGTCTTCCCTATTCATTGCCCAGTACAGTTATCAGGCCAAGCCAAAGCATCTTTTCCATGGGAAGGGCAAAGTATCCTTCAGATCTGGAATAAGGTAATAGGTAAGCAGCTTCCTGTTCCTTGTTTTCTTTGTACTAGCACCAACCCCAAACCATAAAAATTTCCAACTTAGGTTTTCTAAGATGACTTTATATAGGGGCCAGCCAGAGCTGCAAGCCTCTCTGTGTTGGACGTTCTCTTCTTCAGGAGTGCTGCTGGTCCAGTTCAGCTGGTGGGCTGTGGTATTCTTGGCAGAAGATGTTGTTTGTAAAGGGGATAGAGAAGAGGGCTACATTATCCTTGGGGCTTTAGAGAGGAAACAGCCATAACCAACCCTTTGCTCTTAAGAGGTCTGCTTTAAGTGCTCTTATGTTTTCATTCTGGCAGCTTTCAAGACACAGTAGAGAAACTTCCCTGCATTCCAGGAAGAATGACTAAAGGGTTCACAATTCAGAGACAGTCTAGTCCCCTTTACATCAGTTTCTAACCCAGTGGCACTTTATTGATCAGTCTTCCAGGTAAGACTTATCTGAGATCAGCCAAATTTCCCTAAAGACTACATAAGCATCTTAAATAAAAAAAAAAAAATCTATTTTTTTTATGTGGTGCTGAGGATTGAACCCAGGGCCTCGCACATCCTAGACAAGGGCTCTACCGCTGAGCCACCATCCCAGCGCCTACATAAGCATCTTATTTGTGTTTATGTGGTGCTGCTTGAAACTGAACCCAAGGCCTCCTACAAGCTAAAATAAAACAGATGCTCTACCACTGAGCTCTGTACATCTCCCAGCCCTGAAAACATTCTACTTATGACCACCTCTACATAGAGACATACACTAATCAGGAAAATGGTTATCTGCTTTCTCTCAGGAGAGCACAATATTTGTTTTAGGTTCTTCCCAAACATCTTAATCCACTGATAAAGATCCCTCATCCATCTATGAACAGAGGAAATGTTAAAGCCTCAAGAAAGTCCTGACAAAATTATTTTAAAGAAAATTTATTGAAAGAGTGGGCACACATTCTCATCTCTTTTTTTGTTCAAAGCATAGAGAAAAGAAAGTCAGGTGGGTATGGTGGCCTATACCTGTAATCTAAGCTACTAGGGTGCTGAGGCAAGAGGATCACAAATTCAAGGCCAGATTGGATAACTTGGTGAGACCTTGTCTGAAAATGAAAGGACAGAGGATGTAGCTCAATGGTAGAGTGCTTGCCTAGCATGTGCAAAGTTCTGGATTCAACAAAACACAAATAAAAAATCCCAAAGGACTAAATGGGGCTGGGGGAGCAGGCAGCTCATTGGTGAACACTTGTTAAGTACGTGTGAATTCCTGGGATCGAACCTCAGCAACATATGCACAAAAAACATACTAAATGAATAAACAAGTAGGCAGGTACTATTCACTAACTACAGAAAGAGAATATAGTACCTGTAATAGCTTTATTTTTATATATATATGCTGAGGATTGAACCCAGGGTCTTGTGCATATGAGGTAAGCACTACCAACTGAGCCACATCTCCAGCCCCAAGTTATTCATTCAATGGAATGATTTTGTTGGGAGTGGAAACTGGGTTTGAGATGCATCCTACAGACTCAAGGATATTTCCAGGAGGGGTGGGGGGATGTGGTTTATTGATACATCACAGTTCTTTATATCAGAGACAGGAGTGTGTCCCTATATCCACACTGTACTTATTTACATTGAAGAAGAAAAAAAAGTGAAAAATGGCAGTCAAGAAGACCTCTTTTTTGGATAGATACAAGCCTGGGTATACCTCTAACTGAAATATTTCCACAAATTGGAATGAATACCTATGTGCAGTAGAACATCCAAAAGTAAACTTGATTCCCTTAATACCCTTCAGGGATCATACAGTTACTGGTTATAAGATTAGACTAGGTTTAAATCCCAGCTCTATCACTTACTAGCTGGTTGACTCTGAACAAGTCATGTCATTGCTTTTTTTTTGGTGCTGGGGATTGAACCTAGGGCCCTGTACATGAAAGGCAAGGACTCCACCCACTGAGCTATATCCCCAGCCCATGTCATCGCATCTCTTACCTAGTTTCCTCATCTGTAATATAATAGTACCCACCCTATAATTACCTTGAGTTTGAAATAATGTTAAAGTGCTTCCAATAGTGCTTTGCAGATTGTTCTCTGCTAGAAGTATTTGTTATCAAGGAATTGCATCACAAATGCATTTAAACCTTAACCCAACAATATAATTTTGTAACTAAATAGTTCTAGATCATTGGATACCAAACATTTATGAAATTTACATAAGACTTTAAAAGTAAACACTTTCTGTATAACAGAACTTTACAAATTGAAGGTTCATACCTGGTACTTAATCAAAGAAATAGGAATCTGTTCTAAGGCTGAAAGGAAAAAAATCCAGGAATTACTAAGAGATGGAACCCTCCTCAGGGTTTTCTCCAAGTTATGGGAATTAGGTATGAGATTCATGTATGTGTTGAATTGAGCAGTCACAACTCACTGTCCTCCCTGCAAAAAGTAATTCTCTGTAAGTACTTGAAATGTTCCAGTTTTAACTTGGGCAAAGAAAAACAGGTTAAGGATAAAAATAGGTATTGAAGCAATATTCAATAACATTTAATTGGGAATCACTGGAGTAAAGGTCTATAATTTGTTTTACAGCTAAACTACAGAAGCATTACACAATTAATAAAGACCATAGGGTACCTTTAAATAAAGCATCTCTTGTTTTTGGCCATGATTCCAGTGAGTGAATTCCCATTTGTACCAAAGTTCTCTAAGACCATACACTTACTCCCAAATTTGCCAATAACTTTTAAAGGAAAACATCAGCACTTATCCATTCCAGTGTTAAACTTTGCTTAACGAATAGAGGCTGTAGATATTGCTATCCTGTAACCCAATCTTCCAATAGAGAAGTCGCTATTGGTTATTTCTACGAAACTGGTATGGACATGACAAAAAACTTTGGGGTCACTGAAATAGCTGTTTTAACTACTAGAGAGACTACACAGGTGGTTCAACAGAATTTACTTGTATATTTTCCATTTTCTATACTATTTGAAGGCATAGGATAGCTTTGTATTAGCTTTCTACAATACTGTGTTTTAAATTTATCCAGTAAACTAAGATGCAGTACAACTTTTATACAACTTAGAGGAGATTTTAAAGGAAAAAAGTCTCCACAAGATAAAGCAACTCAGCAGGCCCTGGTGTTAAACATTTCCCAGAATAAACAGATAGGCAATTGCATTAAAAGGTAGTTTTCAAATATTTAAATTACACCAAGATTCCTTCCAAATATCTTGTCTTTCTCAAACCAATGCAACTAATTCATTGCTAATACTGGGACACGTATTTTTGGTAAATGCTAATGCTTATGGTTTTACTTTCTTCATTAGTCAAAAACCTTTTGAAGTGCTACCAAGTAGCAGAAAAAGCTGCATCAGTTCTCTGCTCATGGTAGAGGACCAATTGTGAAATCACAGAAGGTATACAGTTTAACATAAGTAATGCAAGAAACTAACAAATGGCTTAAATACAGAGTTGGACACAATCAAACCAATCTAAAAATTACTCAACTGGAACTAATATAGGTACATTCAAAATAAAGTTGGAGATTATAATTGGTATTTAGAATCAAATTTGAAGAGTTTCTTGATAAAATAGAAATGTTCTTTTGAAATTGGAAATGAAACTATCAATTGATGGAGAGCTAGAGACTTATTAACCCCTCCTACACAGATAAGGAAATAAGTGACAAAGTCTCTTGCACTGAAGTTATGTATTTTAACAGCTTTACATGTAATATTCATATATAAAAAACTTTTAAGTGCTTTTCTCCAATTTAAAAATCTAAAGAATTCAAAAATAAGGCATTCAATATTTGAAAAAAGTACAGATTTACAAAATGTGTATATTCTGTCATGAAAACTCCACACCAACATTATACACTTGGAAAAAAATACAAACAGGATATATTACAAATTTATGCAGCAATAACTTAGTTCACACCATGCAATAAAAAGTACATTAATCAAGATACACAAGCTTTTGTAGGTTCTAAACTGAAGGACTTTTTTCTTTTTTTCTGCAGAATCCTTAAAACCTGTGGCACTTAAAATTTGTTAGCCTTTCTACTGGGAGGTAAATTATACACAACAATGATGAAAAAGATTAACAGACCAGTTGTCTATTATGAATCATTCCAGCTTTGTTCAACAATGGCCGAAACTCTTTTTTCATATTCTCGTTTGTTTTCCTGATAAAGCTGTGCTGCCTGGCTATTAGCTGGACTATTTGGATTCGGTTCATCCAGCAGAGACTGCAAAGAAAAAGAAGAAAAAACAGATTTGCACTGTCATTCTTTCAACTAACAAGGTTTAAATATGGAATATATGAAAATTATAAAAATAAATAAAATAAAGATATTGTGTCCATCTACAACTAAAAAAATATTAAAAGAACTTAGGCTTCTAAAACACAATTCTAAATTGCCTTCAGACTATTAATTTCAAGGAAATAAAAAAAAAAAAAAACAATATTCTTTAGTATACTTAGATTTTCATTAGCCAAGAAATAAGCAGCTTAATTTGGTTAAGATATGATACCTATAAATCTTTAGTAAACAATATTTTCAAAAGTTAAATTTTCCAGGCACAGTGGTGCATGCCTGTAGTCCCAATGACTAAGGAGGCTGAGGCAGGAGGATCACAAGTTTGAGGCCAGCCTCAGCAACTTATTAGCAAGGCCCTAGGCAACTAAACGAGAACCTGTCTTAAAATAAAGGCTTGGGGGTCTGGCTCAGTGGTTAAGTGCCTCTGGATTCAATCCCTGGTCCCAAAAGATAAAACTATGTTAGTAGTGCTGGGGATTAAACCAGGGCCTCACAGGTTAGGCAATTACTTCTATCACTGAGTTACATCCCTAGATCTAAACCCCATTCATCCCCAGCCCTTTTTATTTTTTATATTTTGAAACTGAGTCTTACTAAATTGCTGAAACTGGTCTAGAACTTGTAATCCTTCTTTCTCAGCCTCCTGAGTTACTGGGATTATAGGCATGTGCCACCTTACCCGGCTAAGGGGGTGTATCTTTATTCTTTTGATAAACAAAACATATATATTTAGCAGTAAGAGAACAAAATAGATGATATGACTAGGATTAAGTTAAAGTGATATAGAAAAAGTTTTATAAAGGTCACAAACCAAAATGTTATTTTTGCTCCTCTCAAATACGCATAACTAAAACACCTCTGAAAAACTGCTTTTCAAGGTCAACTCTGAACTCGGCCAGATTGTTCTGGCAAATGGTTACACTCATTTTTATTTATTTATTTTATTATTATTATTTTTTAATACTTATTTTTTAGTTTTCGGCAGACACAGCATCTTTGTTTGTATGTGGTGCTGAGGATCGAACCCGGGCAGCACGCATGCCAGGCGAGCAGCGCTACCGCTTGAGCCACACCCCCCAGCCCCTCATTTTTAATTTTTTTTTTTTTTAAACTGGGGATTGAATCCAGAAGTGCTTTACCACTGAACTACATCCCAGCTCCTTTTTACTATTATTTATTATTTTTTATTTCGAGACAGGGTCTTGTTAAGTTGCTTAGAACTTCACTAAGTTGAAGTTGGCCTCAAACTTGTGATCCTCCTGCCTCAGCCTCCCAAGCCACTGGGATTACAGGTATGCCACGGCATCTAGTTGATTTTTAATTTTATTAGAATTTCTTGCACAATATTCTCAATGTTTCTCTGCACTTTTTCTTAAGGTTCTTAGGGTTTTCTAAACAGTTATCTTTATATTTCTCTCCAAGATTTTCTTCACAATCTCTGCTATGCTACATAAGAGTAAGTTTGATCTATGAGAACACATCATTAAGAAATGGATTGTGAAAGTTCTAAAAACACAAACTAATAAATAACTCATGGAAAACATAAGGAATTTCAACAAATTATAAACTGTGTAAAGAACTTCAACAAATTAAAAAGAAAAGAAATGGATTGTGGGGCTGGGGATGTGGCTCAAGCGGTAGCGCGCTCGCCTGGCATGCGTGCGGCCCGGGTTCGATCCTCAGCACCACATACAAACAAAGATGTTGTGTCCGCCGAGAACTAAAAAATAAATATTAAAAAAAAATTCTCTCTCTCTCTCTCTCTCCCACTCTTTCTTAAAAAAAAAAAAGAAATGGATTGTGGGCTGGATTTCATGTGGTTAACAAATAAAAAAAGTAAGCCAGGTACACAGGAGCACACCTATAATCCCATCTATTTGGGAGGCTGAGGCAGGAGGATCACAATTTCAAGGCCAACCTGGGCAACTTAGACCTCATCTCAAACAATAAAAGGGCCGGGAAGGTAGCTCACCTGGGTTCAACTGACATGTAATAGCACCCCTGGGTTCAATTCTAAAAACAAAAACAAAGAGCAGAGCAGTCAGGTGAAAATCATGGGCTTCTACTTGAGCTCTGCCATTAGTTACCAGGTGCTGGTAAGTAAGTTTGTTCACCTGTCCTAAAGGAGCTGACTGTATCCCACAGTACACTGAAAAATGATATATCATAACACACTCTTACCTGAATTGATGTTAAGATAGAAGATACATCATATGTTGGACTCCATCGATTCTGAAGGATATCTAAACATATGCTGCCATCAGCATACACTGCAAAGACAACACTAAAATTAGTTATATGTTAACTTTGCCTATCTGTTAAGAGAAGTCCTTACCACAAACAGGATACTTGGCCCAGTTAATTAAAAAAAAGACATATCTACTCTGTTTACTATGTAGGAAGATATAAAACATTTATAAGATTACATGTCAAAATATAAGCAGCAGGTATCTGTAAATTAAATCATGAATAATCATATTTTCTTGTCTTTATGATTTATTTTGAGAACAAGTACATGCTTGTGATGATACAAAAATGCAAGTGATTAACCTGATTACATGTCTTAAACATTTTGGATGCCTTTCTTCCCTCTAGAATCAATTATGTGAAAATACAAGTGATGAACACAAATTTTTACCTACTTGGGAGACTACGTACTTGGAGGATAAATTTCTAGAAATAAAAACGCTATTATTAACAAAGGGTGAATGGGCAGAAATGTTACAGATACTGCCAAATTGTGGAAAGCATCACAGAGCAAGTCAGAACACTCTACACAAAGAAATCAGTAATCAGTAAAAGTAGGCTTTTTTGACAGACCACACTTAATACTGCCATTTTTCAGAGCACTAACCTAGGCTGTCTTCTTTCCTAACCATTACTGAAATATAACTAGATGATGCTAACCACTCCTTGGCCTTAGTTACTGTCCAAGTGCTCAAGTGCTCCCAAATGTTAGCTTTGGCCCAGATCTCCCTCTCTCAGCTTCAAAACAACACAGTCAACTGCTTGCTGTTTATTCCACAGAAGCATCAAACTCAGCAACTTCAAAGCAAAAAAAAGTACAAGATGATTTTAAAGTTTTGAATTAGTAACTATTTTTGAGAAAATAATCCAGATGTCAGTTAGAACCCAAGCATCCATCAATTGATGAATGGATAAAATGCTTATGCAATGTCTGCATGTCAGGTCTAGAAAAAAGAAAACAGAATGACCATGGCAATGATTGCATAACTCTGTGATTATACTAAAACCCACCATATGGTATATATAGTTTAAATGAGTGAATGGCATGGGTGTGTAAATTATATTTCTTTCTTTTTTGGTGCTGTAGGGTAGGGTGCTGTGGACTGAACTCAGGGCCTTGCACATGTAGGCAAGTGCTCTACCACCAAGCTACACACCCAGCCATGTACGTTATATTTCAATAAATGTTTTTTAAAAAGTGAAAAACCATCCTATGAATATGTAGGGATAAGAACACCAAATACATTGTTTTACCAAAAACTTGCTTAAGTTGATAATTCTCCATTCACATATTGCCCCCCAACCCCCAATTCTAGCCTTTTCCAGTTTGATTTAAAGGCCTTTGATTTGTTTGGGTTGATTCAATACCAACTTTAAGCCAAATAAAAACACAGTGGAATAAATGATAAATGACTAAAAATTTTCCCAAAACAGAAAATAAAAATCAAATGTATCTTGGCAAAAAAGAAAAGAAAGGCAAACTAGAAGGAAAAAGCAACTTCAACTTTATAGCTTCAAAATGCCAAATGCTGTACAAACTGAGTATCCCTAAATTTGAAATGCTTGAGGCATTGTTTCAGATTTTGTAATGTGTGTGTGTGTGTGTGTGTGTGTGTATACACACACAGATAGATAGATATAGAAATATCTTGGGATAGAACTTAATTTCTTTCTTTGGAGTAGGGATTTGAACCCATGGGTGCTTTATCACTGAGCCATATCCCCAGCCCTTTTATTTTGAGACAGGGTCTCATTGAGTTGCTGGGGACCTTACCAAGTTGCTGAGGCTGGCTTTGAACTTACAATCCTCCTGCCTTATCCTCCTGAGCTGCTGGGATTACAGGTATGCACCACCCAGCCAGGCTTAAAACAGGGTCTCATTAAGTTGTGGAGGGTCTCCCTAAGGTTGCTGAGGCAGGCCTGAACTTACAATCCTCCTGCCTCAGCTTCTCCAATCACTGGAATTACAGGCATGAAGCATTGGGACCAGTTATAATATTTTAAATAATTTTATATGTGAAATGAAGTTTCATGGTATAGAATTTTCCACTTATGACATCATGTTGGTGCTCAAAAATTCCAGATTTTGGAGCATTTTGGATTTTAGATTAGTGATGCCCAAATGGTGGGTCACCTTGATTCCAGACATAGACAAACACATCTCTCCTCTGAGTAAGGAGCTCTATTATGTAGTCTAAGAGAAAGTCAAGACCTCCAAAAATATTCCTCTGTCAATAAGTTACCTAACAGGGAAGACCACATTTAAATGAACAGAGTTAGGAGGAAGAGGAGATTCAAGTTTTTGAGAAGTAGTTTTTCATGAGAATTTATAATCCAAGAATCATCGTAATTATTTTTTCTTCTGTGGTACCAGTGACCGAACCACATCCCTAGTGTTTTGTTTTTCCTTCTTAATTTTAAGACAAAGCCTCATTAAGCTGATGAAGCTGATCTCAAACTTATGATCTTCTTGCCTCAGCCTCCTAAGTATCTTGGATTATAGGTATGTGCCTCCATGCTGGGCTACTGTATTATTATTATTATTTTTTAAATATTTATTTTTTAGGCGTAGATGGACACAATACAATGCCTTTATTTTTAGGTGGTGCTGAGGATCGAACCTGGGTCCTGAGCTTGTGCTAGGCAAGCGCTCAACTGCTGAGCCACAATTCAGCCCTGGGCTACTGTATTATTAACAGAAAAATCCTGAGAAAAATCAAGTCGAGAAACACAGCTTCAGATGTGCCTTGGTTGGGTGGTGGCAGTTGAAACCACTGTTATGGATGAAATGACACTTTGGTGAAAAACACTGTTTCTCTATATGCATAACAGCTCTGACAAGAGATGTGTCAAGAGTTTTTCCCCACACCAATTCCCTGACACCAACTGGGTATCTACAATTCAACTCACTCTGACACCATTTACCTGGAGTTAGTGCCCGATCCCACAAGTTAAAGAACTCAGTGACAGAAAAGGTTGTGCTTCAGATACCAATTATAAATCCATACCTCCCATGCTTCTGAACAACCAAACATAAACTGGGGATTTCTATGACTCCCACACCCATATTGGATAATTTCTTACTTACATTTGCCAGTTTGTTATAGAGAATATAACCAGGGAGCAGTTAAGGTGAAGATATGCATGGGGCAGTACATGGGAGGGGCAGAGCATGTGCCTGGAGCTTCTATTCCCTTTCTGGGCGAGATATCCTCCAGCACTTCAAGGTGTTCACCAACCCCCAAATTTCCTAATCTAAACCTAATAGATATAAACTTTATGAAGTCGAGGAAGACCAAATTTATTTACAAAACTTATCCATTCATTCATTCATTCGACTAAGTAATGATGCAAATAGCTTTTAACCCAGAAATCTTATTTTAAAAAACTTTTTCTAAAGAAGCAATAACTGACACCTAAAAAGAATTTCAGAACATTTCAAGAATGTTCAATGTGCTGTTTAAACCACAAACATGGGTTCAATCCCCAGTACCACAAGCAAACAAAACAAAACAGGGCTGGGGTTGTGGCTCAGTGGTAGAGTGCTCGCCTAGCATGTGTGAGGCACTGGGTTCGATCCTTGGCACCACATATGAATAAATAAAATAAAGGTATTGTGTCAATCTACAACTAAAAAAAATATTAAAACAAACAACAATAAACCCACCAAAACCCAACATTGGTTAAATAGATTTAGGTGATCTATATAATAGAACATTTATAGCTATTAAAAATTATTCAGGCCAGAGATGTAGCCCAGTACTTAGTACCTAGTATGTGTGAGGCCTTGGGTTCAATATAAAGTGCATGTACATATATACACAGAATATAGAATATTTAATAAGGGAAAATATTCAATGCATGGGTGTATGTACACATATATACACAAATATAAAATTCATATATAACATATTGCCAATTATGTATAAGCAAAATTGTATTTTCCCCCCTATTAACTTTTTTTTTTTTTTTTGGTGGTGGTACTGGGAACTAAGCCCACAGCTTTGTGAATGCTAGGTATGCACTTTACAGCTGAGCTACATCCTAGCCCCAAAGTTGTAAATTTTGTTTTTTTGTTGGCACTGGGGATTTAATCTTGGGGCATTTTATATTACTAAGCTACAAACCCAGATCTATTTTAATTTTTAATAATATTTACTTTTTAGTTGTAGTTGAACACAATACCTTCATTTTATTCATTTATTTTTATGTGGTGCTGAGGATTGAACCCAGGACCTCACACATGCTGGGCGATCACTCCACTGCTAAGCCACAACCCTAGTCCCCCCTATCTTTATTTTATTTTGAGACAAGGTCTCACTAAATTGTTAAGGCTGACCTTGAATTTATAATCCTCCTGACTCAGCTTCACAAACCCCTGGGATTACGGCACGAGCCACTGGGCCCAGTTCAAGTTTGTATTTTTTAAAAGCTAGATTTTAGATGAAAAAGTTTGGTATTGTTCACAGTTCTACAAATACCTATTACTTTTCTTTCAAAAGTTATTAAAACAAGCCAGGTGCAGTGAAGCATGCCTGTAATCCCAGCAACTGGAGAGGCTGAGGTAGGAGGCCAGTCTCAGCAAGTTAGTGAAGCCCTAAGCAATTTAATGAGACCCTGTCTCAAAAATAAAAAGGCCTGGGGATGTAGCTCAGTGTTAAAGTACCTCTGGGTTAAATCTCTAGTACCCCACCCCCAGAAGTTATTAAAACAAAAAAATTTTTCCAGGTGTGGTGGTACATGCCTGTAATCCCAGCCACAAAGGAGGCTGAGGCAGGAGTATTGAAAGCTCACAGTCTGCCCAGGCAACTTAGCAAGACCCTGTCCCAAAATAAAAAGGGGTTTGGGATGTGACTCAGTGGTAGAGTACCCCTGGACACTGGATCATCCTTAGTACCACAAACAAAAAAGACAACAAAGAAAAAAATAATACCTCAAATTTGGAAGCTTGATAGAATCCAGCTACAACAATGTAGCTAAGATGGACATCTATCAGTAGGCCCTAATTGAAAGAAGTAAGGGACAAGACCTAAAAGGAGGAAAAGAAGCTCCTACCCCAATCATTTGTGAAGTGTAATAAATGGCTACTTACCATTTGGATGAAACATTTTGGATAAAAACCTAACAGTTGGTGGTTTATTTGGATATTCTTCAGAAAATTCTATTACTAGTTTAAAAGTACCTAGATAGAAAACAAACCAAAATAATTAAAGAGAAACACAACTTTTAAGTTTTTTAGTTCTCAAACCCATACTGGCGTTTGCACAACCACACAAAAATTTTCTATGTGAACTCTGGTACAGCATACAAAAAATACTAACGTACCTCTATGTTAGACTGGTAACATGCAACACTGGCAAGCACTTGGGGAATAAGCACTTTATGCTTATTCCCAATGCTATTGGCAGATATATATATATATATATATATATATATATATATATATATATATATTTGTGTGTGTGTGTGTATATATATATATGAATAATTTTTTTTAAGACAACTGGTTCCTAGCTACCAAGATTTAAAATGTACTTGAAGAACTACATATAGTTTATCATAGCTTAGAAGGGGAAGATCAAAGATTCTGAGAGCGGCTGACTACCACATGGCAAAAGACCCACATTAGGTATGGGCGCTAGTATGAAAAGTTCTTTCCGCAATACCAATCCCTTCATTTGAATATACCAAGAACCATTAAGCTTTTTGTGTAAATGCCTACTGTTGGTATTTTGGTCAGTCTAAATCAGTATTTAATGGTGAACAGAAACAGGCATTTTAAAAAATTATCCATTTGTTACAAAGTCAACACATTCAGAGTACATAAAGGACCTTCAACTCTAGTTCTAATTCTAAGAAATAGCCTCTATCAATGGTTTTGTGTTTGCCTTTCTAGACTTCTTTTGTGCTTTTTATCTAGAGTCCTTTCATTTAGAGGAACATGTGTAAAGGCTGAAGAAGCCCTCTAACTACAGCTCCTTAGACATACTTGGTAAGCTGAACTTACTAATGAAGTAAACAAAACTTTAAATCATTACAGTTGTTTCTGCAAGTCTTTCCTTATTCCACCAATGCAATTAAAATAACACGCTTTTCTAATGCTAAATTCTTCTAATGCTAAATTCTAAGTTCCTCGCTCCAATGTCCAAAGTTAGAGGTTCATTTTTAATAAAATATATTGTACCTCTACTGGTCATACATTTAGAATATAATCTCTACCTTTTTACATTGTTGTCTGAACATTTTGGATCAAGGAGGCCAAATATACAAGCATTAAATGTAATTATTTCATATTTGTATACATATTAATGTAACAGAGGTACTTCACATATGCTAGTAAGTACATGTTATACTGAGTTATATGTAAAAGATAACATTTTAATTATATAGCTGTACAATTTAAAATTTCAGGCAAATATAAAACAGCTATATTTAACTTTTTGATCTCAGAACCATTTAATACTCTTAGTCCCATCATTGCCAAGAAGTGGACATGAAACAGAAAGAAGTATGCAAAAAGTTACCATTTTGTAGTTATCTCACCACAGAGAAAAATAATTAAAAAGTGATGAGGTTTGACATGTGGAAGATAGAGAAAAAAGCTAAAAAGGGGAGGAGAAGGAAGGAGGAGCATAGGAAGAGGAAGTTATGGGGGAATGAAATTGACCAAATTATGTTATATGCATACACAAACATGTCACAATGGGCCCTAGCCATAATTATAGATATAATTATAATTCACCAATAAAACATTAAGAAAGATGAGGTTTGAGTATTATCACTTTCTAAAATCTTTGCTTTTAAATGTAATTTGGGGTGGGGGTAGGTACCGAGAATTGAACTCGGGCACTCAACCACTGAGCCACATCCCCAGCCCTATTTTTATTTTATTTAAAGAAAGGGTCTCAATGAGTTGCGTAGCACCTTGCTTTTGCTTAGGCTGGCTTTGAACTCACAATCTTCCTGCCTCGACCTCCCAAGCCATTGGGATTACAGGCATGTGTCACTGTGCCCAGCTTTCAGATGTAATTTAACTTTAAAATAAATGCTCTTTAGTAACCAGCTTGAAAAACTTCTGAAATTTAAATAATTAGCTCTCATCAATTAGTACAGGCTGCTTCCACCAAATCATTGATTACACCTATTGATATTTGTTGTATTAAAAATCACAACTTAGGGTTGGGGTTGTGGCTCAAGAGTAGAGCACTTGCCTAGCAAGTGCAAGGCCCTGGTCCATTCCTCAGCACCACATAAAAATAAATAAATAAAATAAAGGAATTGTGTCCAACTACATCTAAAAAATAAATATACAGAAAAAAATCACAACCTGGAAAATCTTCAAACATCTCTAACTAATTAAACTGTAAAGCCACCACACAGTAACCCAAGTAGTGTATTTAACAAAAAGTTAATGAGAAGCACAGCACTATTTTATTATTTTTACAATCCTCTTTAAATGATTGGCTTCACAGAAGACAGTTGGACTCCCTTATCTGCTTCTGTACTCAAATCTGTTACAATATGTTGTTTTGGTTGAAGTATAGTAAATGAAGAAAATCCTTTCTCACACAAATATGTGAGCAAAAAAGGAGTACTTTCATGACTTTTATAGATAACTGTATTCTTTTTTGATATTACACAAAAGAAATGGTAATTAGAAAAATTTCTTGTAAAGTACAAACTGAAAGCCTAATTCAGCAAACTTTTCTTACTCAGTAACATTAAAATATGCTGTAATCTGCATAAATTTTACTTATTTGCTGTTAGTGGCAATTGAATCTGAGGCCTTGTGCATGCCAAGCATGTATTCTACCATTGAGGTACAACCCCAGACACAATACCCAGACCCAGATGCATAAATCTTTTACCAATCCACAATTCTATAAAAATCACAACAACTGGAAAATACTGATCCATTCAAGTTATACAGATCATCCAGATTATAAGCTATTAAAAAAAAATCACATTACTTAATAATCACCTATTATTCTCATCATAAAAGTCTTTAAACATTTGGAAACCATCATTTTACTATCAGTAACACATATCTTCAATTGCTTTCCTTAACCTATCAACCTACTTAGGGGCACTTTTGAGAATACATATGCCATATATTGAAACTTGAACAACCACAGTCTTGTCAGTTTTTTTCTGGTGTTGATGATCAAAAGCAGGGTCTCATGCCTGTTAGACAAGTGCTCTACCACTAAGCTATATCAGCAGCCCTGTCAGTCATTCAAGTAAAAAATGTTCCATGAAAAAACAAAACCCAAAATAAACCAGTAGCTCAAGTTGCAGCTCGACTGCAGAAGTGTCTGTCTTTCAGACAAACACAATAGTTTGGTATGTAGAGAAAGTGCTTTGTTCATAATTCTTACTTCATCACATAGAATTTGTTTTTTTAAAGCACCAGGGATTGAACCCAGGAGGCACACTTAACCACTCAGCCACATCCCCAGTCCTTTTGATTTTTTTATTTTGAGGGCTGGCCTCAAACTTGTGATCCTCCTCAGTCTCCCAAATTACTGGGATTACATGTGTCCAATGTCATGCCTAGCCCACAAAGAATACACTGGTGAGAATTTAATACTAACAACTTCGGCAGTTTCATCATTTTATTTAATACTGGGACTGAAAATAGTTGCACTGAGTGACATCCAAGCCCTTTTTATTTTATTTTTTAAGTTTTGAGATAGGGTCCTGCTAAACTGCCCAGGCTGGCTTCAAACTTGAAATCCTCCTGCCTCAGTCTCTTGAGTCACTGGGATTATAGGCGTGTGCCACTGTGCCCACCTAAGACATTTAAGTACCTCCTTTAATTCTTTACCTTACCTAGAAATAATTGCTAGCAATAGTGTGGTTCATATGTTCTAAGACACATGTGTTTAGTAAAAATGGGATGTTACAACATATTCTGCAACTTTTCTGCCTACTCAGACATATGTCCAGATCTACCTTATTCTTTAACTGGTACATAACTTCCAGAGTCCATATACATCATCATTTGCTTAACCATTTCCCCTACCAGGCATTGAGATTATCTCCTTACAAATAGTTCTGCGGTCAGTATTCCTGTACAAATACCCTTGATGGACTAATTATGAATTAATAAATATATTTAAAATGTCATGCTATAATTAGTGAAAATCGTGTCTGGTTAAAATCAATTTGATAAACTCAAGTATATACACATATTAGAACTAGTTTTCCATTTTCCTGGCTCATGGTGAAAAAACCCAATTCGAGATGAAAAATTTCAGCTCAACCAGCTATAAATATTAGATAGCAAAATAAAACAATTTCCCTCAGGGACCTCTTTATCATGCTACAAGATCACCTAAAATAAACTGTTCTCAACATAGACCATGCCACTTATGCTTTCAGTTCTACAGGCAGATAACAAAGTAGCAGAAGGAACTGGCAATGGAGGTAGGTATACAAGCTGATATATGAAGAAAGTCCCTTGTAAACTATAATTTCACAGTAGCTTTATTCAGTTAACTTGGTTTGTTAACAATAGAATGTGACTTCAAGTAGATACATTGGTGTTACAATTTCTTACTAGAAAAGTACCCTTTTTAATAGTATAGAAAACAATAAGAATGACTTACCATCTTCAAAGGGTGTCCCTTCTGGTCTGAAAACAAGAAGATTTTTGATTAAAAGATGTTTTTTAATATTGCTTTTCCCTGATCTTCAAAAATGAAAAAGATAAAACTCCAACAGAAAGAGGGGCTCATTTTGATTTTTTTGTGATTTTTAAAGATATGGTAGAGTTTGATATCACCTTAGCCTTGGATTTTCATTGAAAGAAGCATAATAACTTAAACTTTCTACTTTTCCTTTTAGAGTGGTTTTATGAAAACAAAACTTGTCTATGATTTCAGCACAAAACCAAATCAGCTTATGAATAATGTATATTCTTTTTTTATTTTTTTGGAGTACTACAGATTGAACCCAGGTGCTCTAAACTGAGCTACATTCCCCAGTCCTTTTTATTTTGAGACAGGGTCTTGTTAAGGTGCCCAGGCTGGCCCCGAACCTGTGATACTCCTGCCTTGGCCTACTGAATGGCTGGGATTATAGGTGTGCAGCATTGTGCCCAGTTCCTTTTATATTTTAAGAAAGGATTTCTGTAAATGTCCCAAGCTGGCCTCAAACTTGCAATATTCTTTTTCAACCTTCTGTATGGCTGAGATCACAGGCATGTACCACAATGCCCAACTAAATGTGTAATCTTAACAGAAAGAGTAATCTTTTCACTTTATAGCTTTTAAGATGGAAATTAATAACCTTTAAGGAAATTATGACACCAAACCAAATTTGGCTTTCTAAATCAGCAATAGCTCTTGTTCAGGTAAACAAAGCTGGCATCACAAAAATCACCAGATTCTTATGCTCAGATGCTCATAGCTAGAACATTACTATTTTTTCTTTTTTGGTAGTACTGGGAATTGAAAACAGGGTGCCCTACTACTGAGCCACACCCTCAGCCCTTTAAGTTGCCAAGGCTGCTGGTCTCAAACTTGAGATCCTCTTGACTCAGTCTCCAGAGTCACTGCGATAGGGGCATGCACCACCATATCTGTCCTATGCTCAGATCTCTTCCTTGCCTCCATATCCACATTTAATCTTTCTTAAAGAGCAGCGTGAAGTTTATCACTTGCAAGACATATTCAAAAGTTCAAAGAAGCAGAGTAACAGCCTGAATGTAATAGAATCACTTTATTCTAGAAGGATGAATTTCATTCTTTTCCCACTAGTTTTTAAAAGTACTTTTGTGTGGTGCTAGAGATTGAACCCAGGGCCTTGTACATGCGAGACAAGCACTCTACCTACTGAACTATATCCCCAGCCCTTAAATGTACACTCTTATAGCCGAGTCTGTGCTGATAGTTGTTTATGAAAAATATTCTTTGCATTTTAGTTGAAAACCCTAGTTTTAAGAGTGAAAGAAAAACAGATCTCTAAGGAGAAAAAGGGCATTGAAAATTTTAAATCAAAAAGCATATTCAGGGTTGGGTTGTGGCTTAAGCATGCGTGAAGCACTGGGTTTGATCCTCAGCACATAAAAATAAAATGATACTGTGTCCACCTACAACTAGGAATAAATGTTTAAAAAAAAAAACATGCGGCTAGATGTGGTGGCACATACCTGTAATCCCACTGACTTAGGAGGCCGAGACAAGAGAATCACAAGTTCAAAGCAGCCTGGGCAACTCAGAGACCCCCTATCTCAAAATTAAAAATAAAAGGGCTGGGGCTACAGCTCAGTAGTAAAGTGCCCCAGGGTTCAATTCCCAATACCAAAATTAAAAAAAAAAAAAAAGTCGAGTATATCATCTGTCCCAGCAAGGTGGTACATAAGTTTGAGGCCAGCCTAAGACTCTGCAAGATCCTGTCTCAAAATGAAAAAAATAAAAAGGGTTTGCGATGTAGCTCAGTGTTGGATTAAGTCCCTAGCACCAAGAGGGGGGAGGCAGATGTGCAATATGTATAAACATATACGGGTAGAGAGTAGTTCACTTTATATAAAATGGCTTCATTCAGTTATTTCACACTGGGCTGTGAAATTTTTCTGTTAAATTCTTGCCACAGTGAAAGTTCTCAGTATTTTTGGTTCTGAGCCTTTTTAAAGCTCCACCAACAGAATGATCATAAATATCTGCACAGCACATTTTATAAAAAATAATCTTTTTCTTCTCCTTTGTTATTCCATTCTACTTTGTTTCAAACAGTATTTTTTGTCAATCACCTAAAGGAATTATAAAACTATATGTAGCTGGGTGCAATGGTGTGCATCTGTTGTCCCAGCTACTTGGGAGGCTGACACAGGAGAATCGCTAAGGCCCAGGAGTTCTAGGGCAGCCTGAGTAATACATTAAGACCCTTCACAACAAAACCAACCAAAATAAAATAGAAGAACACCAAAGAGTAAATAAATTGTATATACCTGCCCAATCTCATTAAAATGTTTCTTTGGGCTGGGGGTGTAGCTTGTGATAAAAGCAAGTGCCAGCATGTGCTAGGCCCAGGACTCAATATCCAGTATCTCAAAATGAATAAAATGTAAATTTTTTTCCCAATTTATATTGCAGTTTCAGCTCTTATTAAGGTCCCTGATTATACGTCAATCTCCTTTCCTAGACAATTGTTACATATTAACTTTTCTTAAAGATTCATCACACACCTTGTATTTGGTAAATCTTTCAACTCACCCAAATATAACTGCATTCCACTGCATGATGTTGTTTTCAGATGGTGCACCACTGACACCCACAGGTGGGTCCTCTTGCAATCTAGAAATCCAGGGTGGTAATTTTCAAAGTTGAACACTGAGGTCACCAAGGAGGCCAAGCGGAACACCTACTAACTCTATACCATTAATTTTGAGACACAAACTAACTAAATCCATTTCCTTGTTATGGTGCTGAACAGGAACAAACCATAAGAATTATATCAACCAAGTATACACATTTATTAAATAACTCTTCAAATTATCTGTAAACTTGAAGTGCTTAAGGACCATGTCTCTTCAAATAAAAAGATTAAGATTATTTTCTCTTCAAGAATTGATGTGTACAGTATGACTGTCCCCTTGAACCAAAAAATAGCTATTTAAAACCTCAATAGCAAAAAATATTTTTACGGAACCATCAATATGCAAAGACTGTGTGTCCTAATCACAGCTGCTGGTGCAAACTGCCACAAAAAAAAAAAAAAAAAAGCCACGCAAACCTTTGTGTATACCCTAATGACTAAAAACACATTCAATTTAATTAGAAAACTGTTTTAGGCAGGAATTTTACTTCATCTCCTTTAGTTCCCACAACAATGGCTTTTAAAAGTAATCAGAAGCTTCAGGTATTCCAGGGGTCTCTCTATTTTAAAGGCTCTGTACTAATGCCAAATCAACTCTCAGACCAGGAGATTCAAGACAAAGCTTCCAACAGTCGTCACAGTCAAATTCTTGTAACCTGAAGACCCTTGGAAAACTACCAGAGGTGCCAGGCGTTCAACTCAGAATTAAGCAAAGAATTGCAATAATGAACAAGAGAACGTGGACATAAACTGGAAGTTTTATCTGAATTTCAGTCATGGGAGTTAATCAAACCTATTGATTTCAAGACGATTTTTTTTCACCATTTAAAGACCTCAACAAAAAACCTATTATATAAATATATATAGCCATTTTCACCTGGCAAAATACTTTGCAATTAGTCTACACAAAAATGGTACTGTTTTGTCAACCTCAGGTAAATTAACCTACGATGAACAGAAGCTTTGGAGGAAACTACGGCTCGAGGCCTAAACTTAAGTGGTTAAAAGAAGCCACGAATGAATTAAATGTCTGTTAGCCAAGGCCCAAAACAATGGCTTCCAAAAGCCACACACAATAATGGCGAAGTTATGAGATTACTTCCTGAGCGGCAAATCTAAGTTTTATATTTATCTCAACCAGGGTTAATGTCCCCAGCAAAAACAAAACAAAACAAAAACCTTAACGCTAAATTTCTGAACTATTTTGTTTCTGTACTCGTAAATATTAAACAGAAGGTAAACTGAAAAAAAGTTACTTCCTCCTTTAACCCCCACACCGCCTAACAAAACCTTACTTTACAAAAGAAGACCCAGGAGTATCAGGTTAGCACCAGTATGAAGGAAGGCATTATTATAGGCATTATTATAATATATTATTATTATAGGGCTTTATTCACCAGCCAGAGCCGTGTTCCAGAAAGCACTGGCAGCCTGACGCCCGTGTCTCCAGGCCAGCTCTCAAGGTCCTTTCAAGCGGGCGGGGGTAGAGTCGGGTTTCGGGGGTTGGGTTAACCACCTCCGGACCTCTCACAGTATACCCCACCCTCACTGAAGGCCGAGAGAGCGCGGGGGGATGGGGGTCGCCCCAATACTGTTCCAAAGAGGAGGAGACCAGAGGTTTGTTTTTGAAACAAAGCTGACTGCAGCAGGCGAGGCCCAGGCGGCCTGCAAGAGCTCACTTTCAGGGGTAGGGAGGGGGCGCTACAGAGTGCAGGGGTGGGAGACAAGGTTTGAGCGCTTGGGAGAGACGTCGGGCATCTGATCTAAGTGGACAGTAGAGACCCCTAGGCAAGCTGATCGCCACCTTTTTACTTTTTTTTAGGGAGGGGTGAAGGGTAGTAGTATCGATATCTTTACCCTGCCAGAGTGAGCAATAAGGATAACGGAGTGGGAGCCAAGACTACGACTGGGCTTCCGTCGGTCCCCCTGGTGGTCCCCTTAGGGTTATAAGGGGAAAATGTCCGGGATCCCCGCCCTGCAGACCCGCAGCTTTGGGGGTCATCTCGGCGAAGGAGAAGGCCCTTACCGCTTGAAATCCCGCATGAGCCTCCTCCGGGCCGGGGTCGACATGCTCCCCAGCTGCCCCGCGGTCAGTCTGAAAAAGAGTCCCGCGCAGCACCCCCACCCCCCGGCGCAGCGGCCGAATCACTGTGGGTCACCACCGCCGCCGAGACTGCACAAACAACCCTGCAATGACGTCTCCCTCCGCCGCCTCCAGATCCCTCCGCCCTCCGCCGGTACCACAGAGCAAGGAGTGGGGGAGAAGGGGGCGGGGCGTGTGGGGGCCCGTTCGGGGAGCCTCTTGACTAGGACCGTTTCCATTTTGGCCTTCTTAACTTAACAAGAAATTGTGTTCTCCGCGCTCGGACTAAAGAATGTGGACTAAGAGACACCGCAATCGAAACATTACTCTGTCTTCCCCCTCCCCCGCCACTAGTTTAGGTTCGGCGGGATGGGGAGAAGGACGCATCAGGGGCCAGAGATTTCAGGGAAAGGTGAGATGACGTAAGATCACGTGACTGCTGGCGGCGTTGTCAACAATCCACCCCTGAGGGGGAGGGGACGAAATATCTAGAACCTCGTGTCCCTGTGACGTGATTAGAACCGGTCACGTGAGAACGTCGCCTCGATCTTTCAGACAGGTCTATGTAAGGGTCCTTTAACTTTTGGGGCTTATTGGTTGTTTTTCTTGTTTGTCCCAAGTTCACCAAATGGACAGCTTGTTTTGATTTGTCTTCAAAATGGAATCAGAAATACTTTGGACTTAATTTGTCTCTAGTTGGTTGTTGGTTTATAAACTCTGGTCCTTGGGGCAGAGAGGATGACTCGAAAGTATCTGCCTACCTTCTAATAAATGCAACATTTAGTGCTGGGGCCCACACATAGTAAAATCTCCTGAAATGCTTCCTTAGGACTACCAAATACCCTGTTTCTGCACTCTAGTGTGGTGTCTGGTGTTGGAAATTTGTGGCGATGCTAAAAAGAATGATGTAGATGTCCAACCCTTAAAGATCCTCAGAACTATGGAATTTAGTTTTCCTCTATGGGTCTTTTTTCTTTGAAGATATGTATCTAGCCTGAGATACTTCATTCCAGGTTTTCTACACTAGCAAGGATGGTGCAAATAGTCTGGAAGTGCCCCCCCTCCAATTTTCTTTAATCACTCAATTCCCTCTCTCTATAGCCTAAAATTCCAGCCTTTAGGATTTGGTTGGTCAGAATTCTGAGCACTTAATTTGTCTATACATTTGGGGAATTCTTCAGCTCATCAGGGCAAGAGGTGAAATGAGATCCCTAACACTAACCCTCACATTTGCCCATGCTCTTTCTTTTCATGGAACCAAAAAGAATTAAAGTGGGAAAAGTTCCCATTTTCGTGATACCTCCTTTCTTCAAACCTTAAATTCTACCACTTGCTTTTAACCTTGGTGAATATGTTAGCCAAGCCTAACACTTGATAAATCTTGCTGTGCATTCATAATATGATTCCACATGTCAATATTCTTAATTTTTTGACTTCCCGCAGTAACAATCCTAATCTTCTCCAAAACTAGGGAGGGCAACCTAAGTGCAGGGTTACATGCAATGAAATGCTAAAAAGAAACTATATTTCTAAAAAGAAATCCCTGTAGCCAGGCATGGTAGTGCAAGCCTGTAATTGCAGTAACTTTGTCGGCTGAGTCAGGAGGATCACAGATTTGAGGCCAGCCTCAGCAATTTGGAAATCCTCAGCAATTTAGCAAGACCATCTCAAAATAAAAAAATTTTTAAAAGGGCTGGGGATATAGCTGAGCGGTAAAGGGCACAACCCCCCTTCAATCCCCAGTAACCCCCCCCCAAAAGTCATGTTTTTTATCTAACAATTTATAACTTTATAAAACTGGGAATTTATAATTTTCGAAAAGATCAGAAACACTTATATCAATCAGTAAATGTGGTTCTTGAAGTCTGATGGCAGTAGTTGCAAAAATCACACTGGAAGCCAGCCACAGTGGCACATGCCTGTAATCCCATCGGCTCAGGAGGCTGAGGCAGGAGGATCCTGAGTTCAAAGCTAGCCTCAGCAAAAACAAGGTGCTAAGCAACACAATGAGACCCTGTCTCTAAATAAAATAAAAATAGGGCTGGGGATGTGGCTCAGTGTGCACCTGAATTTGGTCTCTGGTAATCCCATCCCCCCAAAAAAAGTCAAGAATCACACTCTATCTTGGTCACCAGGCCTGCCAAAACCTATTTGTGGAAAGAATAGTCTTAAAGCTCTAATTATACACTGTAGTAATTTTGCAGTTCAGGAACTGAGTCTGGTTCATGCTTTATTTAACTTAACCACAACAAATACTGAATAAATATGCTAATCTCAATTCACTATATCTATAACTTTTCATTTTTTGCAGTACTGGGGATTAAACCCAGGGGCCCTCTACCATTGGGCTACATCCTCAGCTTTTTTTAAGGCAAAGTCTCACAAAATTGCAGAAGCTGGCCTCAAAATTGGGATCCTCCTGCCTTCTCATTCACTGGGATTATATAGGTGCACCACTGTGCTCGACTCATCTATTACATTCTTATTTATACACAGAAATTATTATTTTGTTGGATTGAACCCAGGGCCTTGGGTCTGGCTAAATTGCCCAGATTGGCCTCAAATTTGTGATCCTACTGCCTCACCCTCTTTAGTAACTGGGATTACAGGTCTACGCCATGATGTCTAGCTAGAAATTATTTTACAATATGGTTGAGTAAATTTTGGAAAACAGACAATTCTGAATATTTTGGGTGGCAAAAACGATGAGTATTTCTCCTTCATGTAAACTACAGCAACAGCGTACAAAAACTTAGGAAGACTTAAAAATACTAATTTCTTTACCCATTAAATCAGAATATCTGGGGCCTTTTCAAAAGCTCTCCAGGTATGTGGATGCTTGGATGGGAACCACTAGACTACAATTAGTGGAAAATAATGTCTGTCCTGTTTATTTAAAGGAAGCATAACTATTTACATTGAACACTTTACAGAACTACGAAATTAAAGCTCCCGTAAAGACAGCACAACCCGAGGCACTTGCTTCATGATATACTTTTTACTCACTGAAGGCTGTCACTAGAATTAAAGCGGTCTACTTCTTAAAACAATTAGACACTGGCTCCTCCCCACGCCCCGCCCCGCGCCCTAGTGCATCATATATGGTAGGACCCTTAGAATTGTTTTTCTAAAGAGTACCTTTTAGAGTTCTCACGTGTAGTAAGGGAGTTTTTAAGAGATTATAAGATTTGGAAAAATTTAGAAGGCAAACAGTAGATACCCGGGGCCTCGGCGCGTGCTAATTAAGCGTTTTGACACTGAGCTAGCTATACCCCCAGACCAAGGAAAGTTCTTGGTTAAAGAACCATCTTATCCACGTTTTGAGGATGGATGTCAACTGTTGACACTCCTACATGGGAATATTAATGCAGTTGGCGAAACTGTATCACACAAAACTTTGGAAATATGATTTTACAAGCTGTCTGTTTAATTACCACAGCTACCCTTTTAGGACCCAGGAGAAGCAGCTGGTATTCTCCGACCCGGGCACATCTGCGACGCAGGTCGGGAAAGTTTTCACCTCGGCTTCCCTTCCCTAAATATTTGCAGTCACTTACGCTGCAGCCAAAATGTGGACGCTCCCGTTCCCGGATCAAAACCAACCTTTGAGGACTCTCCAACTGCGACAGCAAGCTGTATTTCCCTCCCCCACCTCCAAGCACATTTCCACTTTCCACTCGCTTCTGTTTCCGGGTCGACACCCCACAGTTATTCCGGTCTTGGGTACTAGGGCTGGAGCGCCCTCCCCGCCCCACACCGTTGCCATGGTAGCCGGCGACCTAGGGCTGTGGAAGTTAACCGGTAAAGTAGGGTCGGTGTCCCTCGCCTGGCTGGGGCTGCGCGGAGCCGGGCCAGTGGGATTACGGAATGGGCTGAGGAGGCGGCGGCTGCCGGAACAAAGTCGACAGCCGGCGAGGGGCGCTACACCGGTCCGGGATTCCGGGAGGCGGGTTTGAGGAGTGGGCGGGAAGGAGGCTTTGCTAGGACCCGTGGCATGTTGTGTGGGCGACTGCACTAGTGCGGGAATCTCTAATTTGCCCCTAGCAGGAAGTGTGGGGACCCCGCGCTTGACACATGGTGACAAGTAGTGAGGGAATCTCAAAGTTAATGGGAATGACCGAGAAAACGGTCATTCTGGTGAGGATTGAAGCCTCTCAAAGACACGTTGATTGCCGAGGAGGCATGATTCCCAGAGGCACACGGGCTTTGTGGAAAAGATTACTATTCCGTTTCCGATTTGAAAGTGGGGGCTTACTGGGTCTATACATTATCCAGCTTGAATAAATAAAAGTGTAAACGTTTAACATTTTCCATTTTCTTTCTTTATTTCTATGAAGAAGTAGAAACCAGGCTTTGAAAATGGAGATGTATGAAACCCTTGGAAAAGCGGGAGAGGGAAGTTACGGAACAGTAATGAAATGTAAACATAAGGATACTGGGCAGATAGTGGCCATTAAGATATTCTATGAGAAACCAGAAAAATCTATCAACAAAAGTGCAATGAGAGAAATAAAGTTTCTAAAGGTTTGCTTCTTTTGCCTTAATTGCTGTGTAAGTCAAAAGAAAAACTGTTATAAAATTAAAAAATTATAAAATAGTTGAGTTAACCCATTCAACAGAAAAACCAACCTTATTGCTTACACTTTGTAATTTTACAGTACTACAAAATGTATGTGCTTGTGTATAATGTAACAGTTATGTAAATATTTGTGAATAGTTAGAAGTATCGACGTATAATGCTTAATAAAAAAGTCTGTGGAAGACATTGTACTAGATGCTGAGACTATACAGGAGTAAAAGGTGGTTATTTCCTCGATGACTCATAATTTAATCAGAAAGAGTATATAAGAATAACACTAAATAAAAATTGGCTCATAATAAATGCCAAGTGATTGCCACAAAAATTTATTGGGCAGGGAAAGTTTCTTGGAGGAAATGGCACACATTTGGTTTTAAAGGATGTGTAGGATTTATGTAAGAGGGATGAAACTATTGAGTTTCAAGTTGGGAAACAGCATAAACTTAGAAAGGCTAATGGACAATTGACAAAGAGCAAGAATAGAAAGAAAAAAGAATAGAGGCATTTGGCTGTGCAGATTCCTGTGCAGAATTAGAAAGAGTTGAGATTAGTGTAGTAGATTCTAAACTCTTGTCATTTAAGTTAAGGACAGAATCAAAACTTGATTTTGTAAGAGGTGGAAAGTGAGGGGTTTTGTTTTTCCCTCAGTACTGGAGATTGAACACAGGATATTACACCTGCTAGGCAAGTACCACTGAGCTACATCCTCAGTTCCTTTGTTTTGTTTTTCTCTTCACTTTTAAACACACACAAACACACACACACAGCCTCCTCTTCACTTTTTAAAAATTTCTTCTTTTTAGATATACATGAATTACTTTTTTAATTTTTTTAAATTTATTTATTATTTTTTAATTTTGAAGCAGGGTCCTGCTGATTTGCACAGGCTGGCCTCAAACTTGGATCCTTCTGCCTTAGCCTCTCAAGTAGCTAGATTACAGGTTTGGGCCACTGTACCTGCCTTCTTGTTTTTAACTTTGTTGCAGTTAAGCTGATTACTTTTTCTACTTTATAGTTTAAAAAGAATAACCAATATGTGGCAAGACATAGAGATGAAAAATGTATTTTTACTGTTACAACTATTATGCAAATTATTTAAAGACACCTTAATTTTTTTTTTTTTTTTTGGTTCTAGGGATTGAACTCAGGGGCACTCAATCTGAGCCACATCCCCAGCCCTATTTTGAATTTTATTTTGAGATAGGATCTCACTAAATTGCTTAGCACCTCATTTTTGCTGAGGCTGGCTTTGAACTCAAGATCCTCCTGCCTCAGCCTCCCAAGCAGCTGGGATTACAGGCATGCACCACCGTGCCTGGTTAAGACACCTTAACTATTCTCATTGTCTTCTCATAGGATTTTTAATCAGCTGTAATTAATTCAACTAAGATTTCTTGGAGGGTTAAATCTAAAACTATTACTAAAATGAGTTAATTTGAACTAAAGTTTTATCTGTTAGAATTTTAGTAAATAAATTATAGATAATTAGCATGTTTGTAGAAATGTTGTCTAGTAATGGAGAAAAATAAAATTAAACAACTTGAAAAGGAGTAATGAAGCATTTCTAGGTGTTTCTTGTTTTTATTCTGATAGACACTGGGCATGGTGCAAACTTCTAATTCCAGCAACTGGGAATACTGAAGCAGGAGGATCTCAAGTTTGAGGCCAACCTCAGCAACTTAGCAAGACCCTGTTGTTTCATAGTTAAAAAAGAATTAAAGGACTGGGGGTGTAATTCTGGTAAATATCCCTGGGTTCAATACCCAATACCAAAAAAAAAAAAAGATATTTGAGAAGGTATCTGATTCTGGATGAATCTTCCCTAATTCTTATTAGCTTATGTTAACATTTCACTGTTTTCATTGCTTTTGCCTTTAAAATATAGACAGGAAGCCAGTAATTTTCCTTAGGTAAGGGATTAATGTTGTTGTGTCCAGAAGCAGTCAGTTCTTTCATTGCTGCAGTACTCTGGCGTCTTTCCAACCAGGGAAATTGGGAGCAAAAACGGGAAAGGAATCTGGTATTATATTTTGGCATGTTTTTCTGTTAGTCATGTTTCAAAGATTTTGGTCTCTGTAGTACTTACAGATATGAAGAAAAATTGATGTTGTGCAATTGGAATAAAAGCAAATTTTAAAAACCAAGAGTATAGTTTTCTAATGAATACAATAATGAAAATATACCCTTTAATTTTTAGCCAAATGAATAAATATTTTTGGTAACTTGAAACAATGGTTAAATATTTCAGAATTGATTGTAATAAGGTCAATGTAAAAAATATATTAAAGTTAATTTTTTAATATTTATTTTCTAAGCTGATACACACTTTTTTTTTAAACTGGGGGTTGACCCAAGGTCTGGCAATTACCCAGTCTGGCCTTGAACTTGAGATCCTCCTGCCTCTACCTCCCAAGTAGCTGGGATTACAGGTGTCCTCTACTGTACCTGATTTACATGCCATTTTTTTTTTTTTGGAATTTTTTTAATATTTATTTTTTAGTTTTTTTCAGCAGACGCAACATCATTGTTTGTATGTGGTGCTGAGGATTGAACCCGGGCTGCACGCATGCCAGGTGAGCGCGCTACCACTTGAGCCACATCCCAGCCCCTACATGCCATTTTTAACAATATATTTTAAAACTATTTCCACAATTAGTGGTACCATTACAAAAGCTGTTTTGTGCTTAATAGTCTGGACAATGAACAAGAATTACCACACATGATTGCATATTTCCCCTGAAATTTATGGTTTACTCTCTAGAGTTTAAGACTCAAATTAGAAAATAATTAATTTGCATAAATTCAGATTACTTACTTAATGGTGTTAAAATCCATCCTTATTTGAAAATATAAGGACCTTGGGGCGGAGATATAGCTCAGTGGTAGAGTGTGTGCTTAGCTTGTGCAAGGCCCTGAACTGGTTCCCCAGTACAAAACTACAACAACAAAACAATTAGAAAACATAATGACTTAAGTGTCATATGTTAAATTTAACCATAAATCAAGTTAAAAAATTTGAAGACATTTCTCAGCATACTAAGTTTCATTATAGTACATTGTTTCTAAATTTTTAAAATAAATAATCAAATGCCAACTTGATGTAAATTCTATAAATAGTTATCATGAAATAGCTTAAAATTTTTCTTAAAATTAGAATTTAAACAAGTCACTTGAGAAACTTTTTTGAAATACATGGAGGAAAAGAAGCTGAGAATATTTAAAAGTTACATAGATATTGTATGTACAAGTTACCGTATTTGAAATAATTTATTAAAAGTCTGTTTCTTTTGTCAATAGCAATTTCGTCATGAAAACCTGGTCAGTCTGATTGAAGTTTTTAGACAGAAAAAGAGAATCCATTTGGTATTTGAATTTATTGACCACACAGTATTAGATGAATTACAATATTATTGTCATGGACTAGAGCGTAAACGACTTAGAAAATACCTCTTCCAGATCCTTCGAGCAATTGAATATCTTCACAATAATAATGTAAGTGCTTCATAATAAGCCAAACTATAGGATGGATCATACTTATTTCTTTGCATGATTAATAAATTTAATGTTGAAAGCAGGACGTTTTAAATAATATATTGTGGTTACTTTGGAAATCAGAGTTTCCCATCTCGCTCAGGGCTTGTTGTAGTGGCTGTGACTATTTGTTTAGTTGCTTTCCTGAACTAATTCTTTGAAGTCTATATTCTTTGTCATGTATGTCCTCTGAAATCTCTGTTCAGTTAGCTTAGAGGTTAGTTACCAAGCAGACAGGCTTTTTAAAGTTAATTAATATGAAGTCCTGCAAATATCACCACAGTCCTATTATAAAATATTTTCACCACTCCAAAAAGATTCCTCTTGCTCATTTCACTCAACCCTAATATCTACCCCCAATTCCAGGGAGCCAAGAATCTACCTTCTGGCTACAGATACACCTTTTAAGATATTTATTATAAATGAAATGATACAATATGTGGCCTTTATCATATGGTTTCCTTCACTTACCATAAAATTTTTGAAATTCATCTTTGTTGCATGCATTGCTACTTCATTTCTTTTTAATTGCTGAATGATATTCCATTTTATGGATATACCACATTTGTTTATCCATACACCAGTGGATAGACATATGGATTGTTTCCAATTTGGGGCTCTTATAGATAATATTGCTCTGAAAATTCATGTGTAGTCTTTGTATGGATGTACATTTTTAATTTTCATGGGTGTACATCCAAGATGGAGCACATGGTTAGTTTTATTTATTTTTATGTGAGATTGTTGTTGTTGTTATTTTATTTGTTTGTACTGGGAATTAAGCACCTAAGGGGGCTTCACCACTTAGCTGTAACCCCAGTCCTCTTAATTTTATATTTTATTTTGAGATGCAGTATTGCTAAATTGCTAAGGCTGCCCTTGGACTTGCAATCCTGCTGCCTCAGCTTTCTGAATTACTAGGATCACAGGTGTGTGCCACCACATCCAGCCTGTATTTTTTTAAATGTTTTTTTTTATTTAAATTACATTTTTTGTATTATTCTTAAACCACAATCTTTTACTATTTTCTTTTTTAAAGTTTGTTCTAATTAGTTATACATGAAAATAGAATGCACTGACACATCATACATAAATGGAATATAATTTCTCATTCTTATGTTTGTACATGATGTAGAATCACAGCAGTCCTGTAGTCATATATGTAGATAGGGTAATCCTTTTCCGATACACCTCCCCTCCCTTCACTCCCCTCTACTTAAACTAAAGCAACTCTATTCTTCTCTAGTGTCCCCTCCACATTGTGAATTAGCATCCACATATCAGAGAAAACATTCTGCCTTTGGTTTTTCCTGTGTTGTTTTTAAAGAGACAACCAAATTGTTTTCCAAAGTGACTATCATTTTAAATTCCCACCAGCAATGGGTTCCATTTCTTCCACTGACTCCCCAATATTTGTTAATGTCATTGTGTGTGTGTGCGTGCACTCTAGAAATCTAACCCAGGGGCTTGTGCATGTTAAGCAGGTGCTTTACCACTGACCGTTACCCCCAGCCCTATTATTGTATTTATTTATTTATGGTACTAGGGATTGTACCCAGGGACACTTTACTACTGAGCTACATCTCCTTCTTCATTTTTTGTTGGGGGGCCCAGGATCTAAGTTGCTTAGGACTTCATTAAGTTGCAGAAGTAGGGGCTGAGGCTGTAGCTTAGTGGTAAAATGCTTGCCTCACATGTGTGAGGCACTGGGTTCAATCCTCACCACCATATAAAAATAAATAAAGATACTATGTATTCATCTGCAACTAAATAAATATTAAAAAGTTGCAGAGGTAGAAGTTGGCCTTGAACTTGCTGTCCTCATGCCTCAGCCTTTGGAATCACTGAGATTATAGGTGTATGCCACTGCACCTGGCTTATTATTGACTTTTTAATTGTTGCTATTCTAGTAGGTGTAAAATGGCATCTTTTGTGTGTGGAGGGTTAATTTTCTTTATTCATAGTGCAATTATCTATGTACAAAATCCTATAAAATCTACAACAAAGCTAACAACTATTAAGTGAATTTATCAAGGTTGAGGAATTCAAGATCAACATACCAAAAGCAGTTGTATTTCTATATATTAGTAACAATCAGAAATTGAAATTTACAAATACCATTTACAAAATATGAAATAATAGGGAAAATTTGACAAAAGATGTTCAAAACTTGTACACTGAAAACTAAACATTGATAAGAAATATTAAAGATCATCTAAACAAATGAAGAGAAATTGCTTTTATGGAAGTCTCTATATTATGATGAAAGATCAAAGAAGATGCTTCAAAACAGAATTGTAGGGCTGGAGTTGTGGCTCAGTGGCAGAGCGCTTGCCTGTGTGAGGCACTGGGTTCAAATCTCAATACCGCATACAAATAATAAATGAATAAAATAAAGGTCTGTCAACAACTAAAAAAAACTTAAACAATACCAGAATTGTAAAAGTCAGAATTCAGAGAGTGTTTGGTTTCTAATAATATTCTCCCTGTAGTCATAGTGTTGGTTGCTGAAAAGACTAAGAATGTTAAGGAATGGAGTGAGAGACTCTTCATGCCCCATGTTTATAACATTGAGGTGTTTGATGGGTATGTGGTGGGCAGAATATGTGAAGTAGTATCATAATGTGCTTATTTATTTCTATTTTCATGCACATTATATACTCAGACCTTGACATAGTGATTGGCATATAGCAGGAACTCAATAACAACTGTGGAAATAAAAAAGGATTAATGTAGTTTGACAGATACAACCTTAAGGAAGCTCAATTAGAAAGGCTTACCCTAAGTTATTTATTTAGTTATTTTGGCTATTTATGGAGGCAGACTGAGGCCAAACAAGAGCAACTTCCAAAGATTTATGGCAGTAGTTTGTATGAACTTTGAAAGATCCCAGGTTTCTAATACTGAGACATTTTCACTCATGCTATTACACTTTGCAGATGATGAGTGTATGTCTCTATCATTCATCTAATTAAATTTAAATGCCTTCTTTGCTGTAGGCACTACATTGGACACTGAGACTATTGCTTGAACAAAGCATGTATCTTGTCCTCATGTAATTTACAGTACACTGGGAGTTTCAGACAAGTAAATAATTGACAGTTCAGCATGATAAATATTGTGAAAGGGGAAGTCCAGATGACGTGAATGTATGGAAGGAATAAACATTTAAGCTTACATCCAAGAAAATGGTTGGCCAGGCAACTGGAACAGCATCAACAAATGCATAGAGATTGGGAAATTAATATTGGCTCTGGCAAATTTGGAAACTAATATTCTATGGACAAGGGAGGTGAGGTTGAGAAGGTAGGCTGGGGCCAAATCTTACAAGTCCTTTCAAGCCAATTTTTGGAGTTTGATATTTATCCTATGGGATGGGGAATCCTTAAAGGGTGACAAACAGAGAAGTGATATGATCACACATGTGATTTTAGAATAGTAATGTGACTTCGTTGTGGATGTAGAGTGGAAGGGATCAGAGTGGATTCAGGAAGAGCAATTGATAGTTGTGTTTAGTAGTTTTGGTGAAAGACCTGAGGAGTTGTGTTTAGTAGTTTTGGTGAGAGAGCTGAGGAGATTTGAGCTAGGAAGATTATAATAGTGTGAGGGATGGGAGAAAGGCCTTGGTTTTGGGCCTGAGCCATGGGGTCAGTGGTGGCTCCACTCATTGAAATAATGTATTATTGAGAATGAGTAGGTTTAGGGGAGGGGGAGATGCATTTAGCTTTGGATTTGCTGAATTTGAGGGGCCTGTGGTCAGTCTTGTGGGATTTCTTGTGGACTTTCACTCCTGGAAAGTGAGAGAGAGAGAGATCTTGGTGAGAAACAGAAATGTAGAAATCATTAATGTATGGATAGTTACTAAAGTTTATGAGTAGATGAACCATATATAAAAATCAAATCAAAGTTGACTAAAGACTTAAATATAAGACCTGAAACTAAAATTTTCTTTACTAGAAGAAAAAGTAGGAGGAGACTCCATGACACTGATCTGGGCTGTGATTTTATATATATATCTCCAAAAGCACATGCAGCAAAAGCAAAAATAGACAAATGGAATTACATTAAACTAAAAGCCTTCTTTTAGTTTAATTTCTTAACCAAAGAAACAACTTGCAGAGTGAAGAGACAACCCACAGAAGGGGAGAAATGTTTGAAAATAATACCTCTGATGTTGACTTAACATTCAAAATATATAAAGAATTTAAACAATGCAACAGATAAACTGATTTAAAAATGGACAAAGGATATAAACAGATATTTCTCAGTCAGGCTCGGTAGCACTTGCCTTTAATCCCAGTGGTCCTGTAATTCCAGCAGCTCAGGAGGCTGAGGCAGGAGGATTGCAAGTTCATAGCCAGCCTCAACAATTATAGTGAGGCCCTGAGCAACTTAGCAAGACCCTGTCTCAAAATAAAAAATAAAAAAGGGCCATGGATATGGCTCATTGATTAAGCACCTGCGTTCAATACCAGTAAAAGAAAGAAAAAAAAAAAAGGCATACAACCAGGCTCAGTGTAGCATGTCTGTAATCCCAGCTACTCTAGAAACTGAGGCATGAGTGTCACAATTTCAAGACCAATCTTTGGAACTTAGACTATTTCAAAATTTAAAAAGGCGGGAAGAAGGGGACAGTAACTCAGTGGTAGAGCACCCTCTGGGTCCAATCCCTAGAACGAGAAAAAAAGAAAAGAAGAGAACCTTTGCACAATGTTGGTGGGAATGCAAGTTAGTATAGACATTATACAAAACAGTATGGTGGTTCCCCAAAAATAGAAATTATGGGCTGGGGGTGTAGTTCAGGGATAGAGTACATGCCTAGCATGTGTAAAGCCCTGGATTCAATCCCCAGAAGTAAAATAAATAAGTAAAAAATAAAAAAAATTAAACTTTCATATGCTCTATCAACACCACTAATATATATCCAAAGGAAATGAAATCAGTATGTCAAAGATACATCTATACTCTCTTGTTTATTGCAGAATTATTCTTTTTTAAAAATTTTTTTAGTTGTCAGTGGACTTTATTTATTTATATGCAGTGCTGAGAATCAAACCCAGTGCCTCACACATGCTAGGCAATCGCTCTGAGCAACAACCCCAGCCTGCATTATTCTTCTTTAAAATATTTTTTTCAGTTGTAGATGGACACAATATCTTTATTCATTTATTTACTTTTATGTGGTGCTGAGGATTGAAACCAGAGCCTTGCATGTGCAAGGCAAGCACTCTACCACTGAGCTACAGCCCCAGCCCAGCAGCATTATTCTTAATAACCAAGAAATGGAATTAAAACCAAAATGAAATAAGGCACAGGACAAATATAATGTGATTTCACTTATATGTGGAATCTAAACAAGTTGAACTCAGAGTGAATAATGAATAGTTGGGTAGAGAGTATAAGAATATATCTTCAAGAGGATTAGCTGTGAAAGAAATGAGAAGGACAGTAACTGGAATGGGCCATGGGTTAAAGGAAAGTTAAAATTTCCTAAGTGCTTTTGATCTTATAGAAATGTGATTTACCTTTTTAGTATTATGTCTATCTTGGCTTCCTTCCTTCCTTCCTTCCTTCCTTCCTTCCTTCCTTTCTTGTACTGGGAATTGAACCTAGGTGTACTCTACCACTGAGCTACATTCCCAACTCTTTTTATTTTTTATTTTGAGACGGGGTCTCACTAAGTTGCAGAGGCTGGCTTTGAACTTGCAATCCTCCTGCTTCAGCCTCCCAAGTAGCTAAGATTACAGGCATAAAACATCATGCTAGGCAGGTTTTATTTAATTTTCAAGTGATGGATAGGTAAGAATTGAAAATATGTAACTATTTTTACATGTGCTAAGGAAATAAATTCATTGTCTTAACTAGATTTTCTCAGTGTAATTTTTGAGAGATTTTCTAGAAAATGAAATCTTATTTTAATATATTTCTTCTTCTGTTTGTTTTTTAGATTATTCATCGAGATATAAAACCTGAGAATATTTTAGTATCACAGTCAGGAATTACTAAGCTCTGTGATTTTGGTTTTGCACGAACACTAACTCCTGGGGACATTTATACAGACTATGTGGCCACACGCTGGTATAGAGCTCCAGAACTAGTATTAAAAGATACTTCTTATGGAAAGTATGTATATTTGGGGAATCTGCCTGGCCTTTCCCAGGCATTTTTTTCCCCCTAATACTGACATTCTCTGCCCTCTGGATCTAGATTGGGGCAAAGAAGAGGGACACTTCCAAGATAACAAAGATCCTATGAGCCCCTGTACTGCTGGCAACTGCTCTTGTGCTTAACCTCTGGTCAAATAGCTACAGCACCAGGAGACAGAGGCAGACGTCTCAGGGTATATCCATGCTTGCTTTAAGCTGAGCCATACCTTTGGAGATCTGCCCCTTCTGTTTATCTTTGGTCTCTACATTTTGCAAAGGTTTTAAATCATTTACCTCCCTCTGCCAGTGTTATAATAGGATCTGCCAAGTTTCCTGTTTCCTGGAAAAATGGCACCCTCTTTGCAAAGACTGGCAAATAGTAATTTTTAAATTGTACTGTTCTCAATGACTCAAAAAGGAGCATGGTCTCAGTCTAATGTAAAATAACTATCTAAAATACAAATAATCAGTCTTGAAGAACATAAAGGGGCAATGGTATACAATTTAATACTTTATTTAATAGAATTGCAGGGATAATTCTCATACACTTTTCCTGGAAACTATTATTCTGTTATGGTAATATCTAATATTGGCAGTGGAATGGAATCTAGGGCCCCACACATGCTAGGCAAGTGCTCTACCACTGAGTTATAATTCCAGCCCTTTTTATTTTGAGACAGGGTCTCATTAAATCATTCAGGCTGGCCTCAAACTTTCAATCCTCTTGCCTCAGCCTCCAGAATAGTTGGAATTACAGATGTGTGCCACCACACCCAGCTGGTGCTTTGGATTGAACCGAGAGCCTTGCACATGTCAGGCAGTCACTCTACCACTGAGCTACACCCCACCCCTTTTTTTATTTTTTATTTTGAGACAGGGTCTCACTAAGTTGCTGAGGGCTTCACTAAATTGCTGCAGCTGGTCTTGAACTTGTGATCCTCCTGCCTCCTGAATTGATGGCATCACAGGCGTGCGGCACTACACCCAACCCATTCTCAGTTTAAATAAGAGCACACTGAGGCACAGAGGTAAAATAATTACCTGAAGTCATATAGCTGGTTAAGTCGCCCAGATTCTAACCTAGGTGGTCTGGATTCACAATGCATGCCCCCCAGTACTTTCTTCTTCTTTTTATGGTACTGGTGTTTGAACCTAGGTGAACATTATCCCTGAGCTATATTCCCATTCCTTTTTTAAAATTTTAAAAAATTTTGAGACACAGTTTTGCTAAATTGCTGAGGCTGGCCTCAAAGTTGGGATCCTCCTGTCTCAGCCTCCTGAGTCTCTGGGATTAGAGGGGTATCCAGGCCCAGAGTAAGTTTTCAATTGTACCTGTCACTGAGGCCCTGCACAAAACCATCTCTATGCCTCATCTGTGAAGTGATAATAATAATAGGACCCCCTTCATAGGTTTGTTGTGAGAATTAAATGATTTGATATACTAAAAGGACTAAAATATAGAAAATGCTCAATAAATGTTAGCTAATCTTATACAGAATATTATGAATTTTTCCCCCAATTCTTTTTGTCCCTAGGTATAATATAGCCTTTGTAAGATCTATGTCTTTTTTTTTTTTTATACTAGGGATTGAACCCAGGGGCACTTAACCACTAAACCACATCCCCAACCAACTTCATTTTTTATTTTGAGATAGGGTCTCACTAAGTTGCTTAGGGCTTCCATAAGTTGCTGAGGCTAGCTTTGAATTTGCCATCCTCCTGCCTCCCGAACTGCTGGGACTACAGGTGTGCACCACCATGCTTTGTTTTCTTCTTAGTACTGTGGATTGAACACAAGGGCACTCTACCACTGAACTACATCCCAGCCAGATAGGGTTTCACTAAACTGCCCAAGCTGTCTACGAACTTGTCATCATTCTCCCTCAGTCTCCCAAGTTTCTGGAATTGCAGGCATGTGCAATTATTGATCTTATAGAATGTGCAAGACAAGCCTGGCAAAACCCTTTTCTGATACATTCTCTAGCACTATCCCTTGCTCTTAAATTGTATCCTTTCCCTAAATCTTCTGTTTTATCTGCCAATATTATGTCAGTTAACGTTAACATAGTTTCACTCTTTCTCTAGCTTTCTCTAGCCTTCTTTCACTCTCTCTTTTTTTTTTACTTCTTTCTAAAAGATGTGTTCCTTGAGGACAGACATAATCTGTTGTATTTTTCCATATTTTTAATTGGTGCATTATAGTTGCACATAATGGTGGGATTTGTTATTACATATTTGTACATGCACACAATATAACAATCATTTCACCAATATCATTCCCCAGTGTTTTCCCTTACTCTCCCTTTTTCCCTTTTCTGATCCCTTTCCTCTACTCTATTGATCACCCTTTGATTTTCATGAGGTTCCCCCATGTACCTTTCTTTTCCTTTTTCCTTTCTAGCTTCCACATGTGAGAGAAAATATATGCCCCTTCACTTTCTGAGTTTGGTTTATTTTGCTTACCAGTGTTCTCAAGTTTCACTGTCCTACAAATGATATACTTTCATTCTTTATGGCTGAATAAAACCACATTGTGTACATACACTACATTTTCTCTATCCATTCATTCATTATGGACACCTAGGCTGGTTCCATATTTTGGCTATTGTGAATTATGCTGCTATAAACGTGGGTGTGGATGTATTGCTATAGTATGCTGACTTTAATTCTTTAGGATAAATAATGAGGAGTGGTATACCTGGTTCCGTGCCTAGTTTTTTGAGTATCTGTTGTATTCCACATAGCCAAACTTGGTGCTTTGCACAGGATAAGGTTGGATTCTATTTCACATTGTGTTTGAAACAAATTTGTCAGTGAGTCTTTTCTAAAAAAAGTTGTAATTGTAATAAACAAACAAAACCAGACAGAAAACCTCATATAACAAATGTACAGTTGTGTACCATAAGATCAAAACTTGAATTTTGCTAGCTACCCCAAGAAACCCTTTGTAACCCATTCCAATTACAACCTGCTCCCTTCTCCCAAAACTAACCATAGTGTTGACTTTTATTGTAATCAATTCCTTGCATTTTCTAATAGTTTTATCATTCATGTGTACATTCATTTAGTTGAATGTAACCTTTTTAATGACAGCTTTTTAAAGATATGATTTGCATACCATATATTTCACTCATTTAAAGTGTTCAATTCAGTCATCTTTATTATATTCACAGAGTTGTGCAACCATAACCACAATAATTTTAGACCATATTTATCACACCCAAAAGAAATCCTGTATCTGTTTTTTATGTTGTTGTTGTTTGTTTGTTTTTTGTGGTACTGGGAATTATTGAACCCAGGGCCTTCAGTATGCTATGCAAGTGCTCTATCACTGAGCTACATCCCAGTCCTTAAGCCTTATATTTATTAACAGTTGCTTTCCATTTCTTTCCAACCTCTCCAGGTCTAAGCAACTACTTATGTACTATTATTCTCTGTGCATTTGCCTATTCTGGATGTTTCATGTAAATGAAACTATACAATATATGGTCCTTTGAGACTGCCTTCTTTCATTTATACTCTTCAAGGTTCACCCATGTTGTACTCCATTTCTCTTTATAGCTGAATAATATTCCATTGTGTGGATATATCACATCATCTACCCATTCATCAATTAATGAACATTTGGCTTTGTTCTCCATTTTTTTGCTATTAAAAATAATGCTGGGGCTGGGGTTGTGGCTCAGAGGTAGCGCACTTGCCTAGCATGTGTGAGGCCCTGGGTTCGATCCTCAGCACCACATTAAAAAAAATAAAGATATGTGTCCACCTATAAGTAAAAAATAAATATTTAAAAAAAGAATAATGCTGCTGTGAACATTTGTGTACATGTTTTTGTATAGATAAATGTTTTCATTTCTTTTGGGGTATATACCTAGGAATTGGAACTGTGGGTCATATGGTAGCTCTGTTTAATCTTTTGAGGAACTGTCATACTGTTTTCCAAAGTGTTTCTATTATTTTCACATTCCTACAAGCTGAATATGAGTGTTACAATTTCTCTGTATCTTTGCTAACACTTATTATTGTTCTTTTTTAAAAAATATGGCCATCCTCACCTTTTTATTAAATCATCTTTAGGGAAAATTTTAGATTTATAGACAGTTTTCAAAGGATAGTACAGAGAGTTTCCATATATCCCTTACCCAGTTGCTTTTTATCCTAATGTTATGTTACCCATGTGTGGTATATTTGTGAAAATGATGCTTGATTTTTGTATTTAAATAAGATTTGGTATGTTTTTAAAAATTCCTTTTAAGCTACAGGAATTTGGGGCTGGGGATGTAGCTCAGTGGCAGAATGAATGCCTTGCATGCAGTAAGGCCTTGGGTTTGATCCCCAGCACTCACTGCAAAACAAATGATAAGAAACCAATAAACAAAAAACTACAGAAATTTCCTTTATCTCTTTCTTTTCCTTACAGCTTATCTGTTAAGTCCAGATCATTTGCTTTGTCAATTTCTCACAGTGCAAATTTTGCTTATTGCATTCTTGTAGGGAAGTTCAATGTGCTTCCCTGACTTTATATTTTCTGGAAATTGGCAGCTAGATCCAGAGGCTGGATAGTCTGAAGTTCAGTGCCTTTGGAAAGAAAACAGGCTTTATTTTCTTCTTTTAATAGGAGGCACATAATGTGATGCTAGCAGCTTTTAATCCTTAATGGCTAGATTCAACAACTCTTAGGGGTTTGCAAAATGGTGATCTTTTAACTGCATCATCCTTTTAAAATTTATTAGTTAGAATACTTTTATGAAGGGACATTTCTCCTCATTTGATTACTCAGGGATAATAGTTCATATATAGAAAGCAGAATAAATGCTTGATTTATCAATGTTTAAGATGAATTGGCTCCAAAAAATAGAGTTTGAAAGTCTACAATTAATTTTCTAAAAATATGACCAGGCCAGAGATGTAGTTCATTGGTACACTACTTGTTTAGCATGTGTGCAGAGTTCTGGGTTCCATACCCAGCATGGA